GGGCGTTCTTCCAATATGTTGTTCGTCATGTGTTCGGACGGCAGGCATTGTTGACAGCCCGGTAGGGCTATGTCTCTCGAACTGTTGGTTCGGTGCCCCCATCAGATGGATTGAGCCCGCTGGACAAGGCCGGTGACGCGCGAAGTGAGGGCGCCGGGGCAGGACAACCTCATCAGGCAGAAATGGCCAACCCGAAGGTATGCAAAGGTAGGCAGGTAGTCGCTCGGTACGTGGTGCACAACAGAAGAAACGTGTGATACCTGGCTTGCCACTGCATACTGGGATGAAGGTGGGGTGGTACAGTTGTGGCCGTTTCCTTACCATCGAGGTATGCGCCGCTATCTCGACAAGCCAGGCTCGTACGTACGGGGACTAAAAACGGAAAGGAGACTCTTATAATGTGGTTCGGGCCAAGGTGCGTACTTCGACGTCGCCAACTTGCGCGTCCTGCGAAGCGCCAGCTGAATACAAAACATAGGTACGCAGCGAGCGTCAATTACATAGCCTGGAGGCTACACACACGCACACACACACTCTGACACACACACACACACACACACACATAAGCTGCCTCAAGGGCTCCGCCTCATGACTATCTTCGTCCGCTCAGATGATACGAAACAATTGACTGGCTGAGCGAAACAGCGCAGGGCTTACAGGGTGCCTGGCTGCGGACCAATGATGCGACCCCCAAACCTCGGAAGGTTGGAGGCTATCACGAGCACGCGCAGTCCCTCTCTTCCCCTCCACATTTCCAACATCTTCCACGCACTAGCTATCCGACTACGGACTCTTGGAGGGCTCGTCACCATTGCTGGGGACGACTCTCACGGCGAGCCGGTCGCTCGCATCAATTGAATGCACGTGAAGGGTGTGGGTTTTGTGTAAGAGGATGTCCAAGACTGCTCCTTACTGTATGTGTCTGGAAACTCATAGGCAAAATCCCAAGTTCCTTGCTCAAGGGTGATTGATGTGTACAGGGATGGCGAGGCAGAGGACCCTGCTCGACATTGCGCTAAGCTTGGCTATCCCAATCGTATCCCTGCAAGTGCCGCGCACTAGATTGAGTACCTGCCGAGGAGCACAGAGCTACTTGGCCTGCACAGTTGTCCAGGTCCAAAGGCACTGTAGCCATATGGCAAGGCAAAACTGGGCTTATCGAATGATCAAGACGATGACGATTGATCGATCCCATGACGGGCCATGTCAGTTGGCCGTGGCCTAAAGATCGCTGACTGATACCAGATCTGATACCAGATGCAGACCTCAGAGTACAGTACGGTGCGGTATTCCCAAGAAGCTTCCCAAACTATCTGACTTTGATATCTGAAGAAAATGATGTGCATCTGCATCCGCTTAGCTGACTGATCGCCTGGCCAAGCGTATGCATCCCAGCTTCGACGAACACCTCGTGAACAAGTGTGTGTCAGTAGCAGCGGCAGAGGCCTCTTGCCCACACACTCCAGCTCACCTGCACTTGCAGCTGTCTACACGTCACACCGGAACCTGCAGTCGTCTTGACCGTACTTGATGCGCATTCCTCAGTAATTTGCTCCTCGTCTGTGTGAGAGCTCGAGATGCGCTTGGTTCGATGACTAGGGCGCGGTCGCCTTGTGATACTCGCGCCTGAGCCCACAATTCAGGGTTGGGATGACTACCACCGGGGTACCGCTAGCGGAGGGGTAAAGATGGCTCTGAATCGAGGCTGGCGAGGAGGGCGGGCACTACAGGGCGATCGAATGCTTGGGTAGCAGGTAAAAACTCGTCGAGGCTTTTTGCTACGTTGTGCAAGAGGGCGACCTGGTCCGCAATACCTTTGCATATCCATGGGTTGATTTGCCATAGTCGAGTCGTGCTCGCCGGGTAGGAAGTTCGATACTTCCTGATGGCCTGCACTATATACACAACAAGTACGGCATCGATGTCTTTGAGTGTGGATGGAGCGCAGAAATAGATTCTTCATCACGATGAGCCCGCACACAGCAATCTTCAGGTTACGGTCTGATCTCTCCATAGAATGACCTGCAGGTGGGATGTAGTACACAGCGAACGACGGCAGCCACTTCGAGGAGGGGGCGACAAGGAGCAAAGAAAACCAGGCTGCGCCTAGGATGTCGAACCACTTGAAGGAAGTCGAGCCGCATTTGTTGGAAAGATCGTCAGCCCGTCCAGGATGGACTGGACCTTGTTCTTGTCGTGGAGGCACGCGGCTACGACGTTGGTTGTGGTATTTAGGTGAAGACTTGGCTCTGAACACCACCACCCAGCCGCCCCGTGCTCGTGCGCATATCCATGGATCTTGGGCAACAACGCCTCCGCCTTCAACAAACTTTCAGTGTACCACACAAGTGCACACACCGATGGAGCTCGTCCCCACGAGGACGGTAGCAGGATGAGTCGCGCCATGGTACTCTCCAAGAACAGTCCGCTGCACCTATGCGCATGAGCGCATAGGTGCCCAGAGGCTCAGTTGGGAGGCGAGAGAGGGTGGGATCTGGGTAATAAGTATTCCTTCCTGCCTCCTGCCTGTCTTCCAGTGTATGTCAACTTGTAGTGTAGACAGACAGATAGAGCAGCACAGCACAGCACAGCACAACTGCGCAACACCAGCCAGGGAGGGGAGGGGGAGGGGGGATCGTGATTGGGCCGTGATGCACTCGAGAGACACGGTGCTCTGCACAGTGATGGGTGCCGTCCTATACGATGGGCGCGGGAGTACCTGGATCAGAGCTGGATGCCGGGCAGAGACCGGGGTGCTGGCTGTCTTTGGACCTCTCAGACGCTGGTAGTGCGAGATCCCCAGGTGCCACTTCAGCCAATATTTGATTCACCTCTCCTTCTTCTCTCATGCGCGGCCGAATAAGGCAGGGCGATCAGGGTATCGAGTGACATTGCGATCCCTCGCTCTCTTTCACTCTCTCCCACTCTCTCGCCCTCTGCTCGTGGCCCGTCTTCTGCCCGTCCGCCTGCCTGCCTGCCTGTCGCTCCACCCGTCCGTCCCCGTTCCCCCCGTCCACAATCCCAATCCCAATTCCAGGTCCAGGTCCAGGTCCCCAGTCCAGGCGCCAGGTCCTAGCCTTTTTAGCCTTACACGCAGCAGCGCCTACCCAGTTTTAGCGTGCTGGCTGGACCCCCCCTCGCTCCCCTGCCATTCCCTACCGCTGTTACTCACCACCTCACTTGCACTTCCCGCGCAACTTTGCCTAGTATCGCAGCCCATCCCATTCTCTCCTCACAACCCGCGGGCACGAACCCTCGAGTTCAACCTCCTCTGCCTGACTCGTCGACACCCTGCGAGCCTCCCCACGAGAGCTGCAAAGTCCGCTCCTCCAGTGACTGCCGTCGACAGCATCGAGGGCCAACCCGTTGTCGACTCCACGCCCGCCCGCGACCGTGTGCCTCGACGAACCACTCGACCGCCAGCTTTACCCGCCGAACCAGACCACCCCGTGATTCTGCTGGAGCTTTCTTGTCAAGAATCAAGAGAGCAACCCCGTTGCTTCGCTCACACCCGCGCTCGCGACCGCGCTCTTGCTCAACGACCTCGCTCTGCACCGAGAGGTTGTCAACACCGTCCCGGCACAGCAAATTTGTTGCCGACCATCTCGACACGCTGCACTGGAGCCGTTCGCTGCTTCTCCCTCGCTAGTCTTTGCACAACACCTGGCACATCTTTGCGGCCATACTCCTTGATAACTCGATAGTGGTTACGTCCGGATTCAGCCCTCCCAGTGAGCGTCTCGTCCTGAGATAGCACCGTCCGCGAACACCTGCAGACTACATTGCCCAGACTCGCTCTTCCTTGGAAGGAAAGCAGCCTCAGGGCACATATCACCTCGACGTGCTCCTAAGCTCCAGGTTATGCGAAGTAGCGGTATTGTCTGTATGGACACCGTTTGAACGGCGTTCAGCAGCGAATAACGTGGTCGAGGTGCACTCGCGAGGGCCTTTGTTCCCGCCGCAAAGCAGCTGTGACAACCGTCGTCTTTGGCCGCCAATTCTCGGCCATCACTTGCTCCATACTACGGCACCGCGGCCATGGCCGCTCAAATGCCCATGATGGGGCCTGGGGGTCAAATGAGACCCCGCGGCATGCAGCAGAACCATGCTCACCAGATCATGATGCAGTTGATCATCTCGCAATCCAGCAGTATACCGCCCCAACCCTGGCACCCTGCTGTCCCTGCCGCCCAGCGCGTGCAGCACGCCATGAACTTGTAGGTCACCACCCTCCGTGCCCCCGGGTTCTGTTCCCTTTTCCCAGACTAAAACTCAACCGTTAGATTTTCCAACGCCATGCTCGCCATGCCGCAGAACGACCAAAGCACAGCTTTAAATCAAATTGCTCACTTCGAGAGAGATGCATTCGCCAACTCACCAAGCAAGGTCAGCCTCTGATGCAAACCCCCCGCAAAACTAGGCTCCAGGCGTATCTAATGTGTCCCGCAGGATGTCTACGACCAAAAGGTCACTGGCAAGCTACGCGAACTATTCCTGAAGCGCCAGGCCAACGAACCCAGCTTGCAGAACAACCTCAACCAGCAACAGCATAACCAAGCGGCTCAGTTGCAGGCTCAGATGGGTATGATGAACCAGTCCAACATGCCGCCACAGCATATGAGGATGGGCCAGCCTGGCCAGCAGGGCTTTCATCATCTGCAGCAACAGATGCAGGCCTCGCCTATCCCACAGCAGCCTCAACAACCCGGCATGGGGATGCCCAATCCGGGGCAGCTCTCCGTGAACCCTAACCAACCGAACATGCAGCCTCAGATGCGCCCGCAGCCTGCAAATTCAAACCAGCTCCCACCCCAAGCCAAGGAGCACGCCCAAAAGCTGGCCACGGGCAAGTGGAACGCCATGAGCGACGCCGAAAAGGGCAACATGCGTGCTCAGGCCAGCCAGAGGCTGAATCCCCAGGCGTTCCAACAGCTCACACAAAGAGGTCTCGACCCTGGCTTGATCTTCCTTCAACAGAATTTCGTGCAACAGATGTTGATGAAGATGAACATGGCTTCCAATGGGGGGATGAACCCAGCGGCCATGCAGATGCAACCCCAGCAGTCACAACAGCAGCAACCACCGCAACCGCCGCAGCCGCAACAACAGCAACAGCAGCAGCAACAACAGCAACAACAACAGCAGCAGCAGCAGCAGCGATCAATGAACGCTGCAGGACAACAGCTAGGTGCCGCTGGTGCGGGTGGTGATCCCGGGCCATTCTCCAACGCAGATCTCATGAATCAACAAAAAGCCGGACTCATGGCACAAGAAGCTGGCCAGATGGTGGTTCCAGCTAGTGGGGCTGGCAGGAATCCCACACCGCAACCCGCTGGGAACCAGAATGGTAACCAACCTGGTCGTCCTCCGAACGCCCAGCAGCAGTTCAGTCTACACCAGGCACAACACCAGATGGATCAAGCAGCTGCCAAGACCCAGGCACAGATCAGGGCCCAAGCTCAAGCCAAACAGATGCAAGGCCAGCCCGGAGGGTTAGGTGGTCCTGGCGGCATGTCCCAAAGTCCAGCCATGAATACACTCAACGCGCCGATACGTCCACCGGTGGCCATGGGGCAGGGCGACCGGCAAGGGCCCATGAACCAGGTCAACGCACCATTTGGCCAGTTCAACCAAGGCAACCAGCGACCACCTATGGGGGGTGCTATGCCTAGCAGGCAGCAACTACTCGCCGCTATGGTCGCAACCATGACTCCAGAGCAACAAGCAAATCTTCGAAGCCTGCCTCCGGAGAGAGTGAGCGAGATACTAAACCGGTGGATGCAGAATCGGCAGCAGCAACAGCAGGCAGCTCAGGCGGCTCAGGCGGCCCAGGCTCAGGCGCAAATGGCTGGTCGCCCTCAACCCCAGCCGGGTCAGTTTGGGCAAGGAAATCCAATGGGGCCTTTCCCTCAAGGGAACAACATGGGGCCCCAGGGTAACAACGCGATGCCCATGAACCAGCAGAACCCAGCCCTCGTTCAGGCGCAATTGAACAGAATGCGGAATGCCGGAATGAACCAGTCTATACCGACCGATGGTTCGCCGGCTGCTGCCTTTCTGGATGCACTCGATGTCCCAGCAAAAGTCCTCGCAAACTTCACGAACGTGAATATCCCGCCTACGGTCAGGAAATGGGGCCAGCTCAAGCAGTGGATGGCGCAGAGCCAGATCCCTCCTGCGATGCAAGGCAGGGTTTTGCAAGTACAAGGGCTGCAGTTCCAGAACATGATGCGTCAAAGCCAGCAAGGCCAGGCTGGGCCAGGTGCGCAAATGACACCAGGCATAACCCAACCTCCAGGCCCGCAGGGAGGTCCAATGCCGCCCAATGCTGCCATGAACATGCCCGTCACAGTGACGCCTCAAGAGATCCAACATCTTCGATCTCAAAGCGACAGGTTCCAGAACTGGGAGGACGTGGACATCAAGAACTACCTCCTCTCGGTGAAGACCAAGTCGGTAAGGAGAGGGATTCCCTTTGCAATGCAGGGTCTACCTCCACAGGCAGGGCCACCACAAATAGCGAACCCTACGCCTGCAACTCAGCCCCCATCCGGGCCTGTCCCCCCTCAAAGACCACCTACTGCCTCGGCGGAACAACCGGGCAAATCCCAGAAGTCAGGTCCGGGCAACCGTCAAATGCCCCAGCAAGCCCAAACTCCGGCGCTGCCTGACAAGTCGAATCGGAAACGGCCAAGTGCTGACGAGGTCGTGGAAGTGCCGAACCCTTCCAGCACACCAGTCCAGCGACCAGCGTCTCAGCAAGCTCAGGGGTCGGGGATGCCTCCGACAATGACGCCAGCGCAGCTTGCCTCCATGACACCGGAGAATAGAGCAAAGTATGAGCAGTTCATGAAGTCTCGACAAGCTCAGCAGGCACCGCAACCAAGGGCCGAGGATATCGAGCGACTAAAGCAGATTGGCGCCGAGGTTCAACAGCAATGCGCACAAGAGGCAGCGGAGGACGTCCCGATGAATCCTCAGATGCATGCCGAAATAGTTTCACTCCTACAGCGAATGGTTGCCGAGATGACCAAGGTTGGCAGGGTACTGGGCCGGTGGTATAGTCTGACCCACGACGACTCTCGAGCCAAGATGTATTTCACAATGGTACGTGCCATGTCCCCGTCTCTTATTCACGGTAACCTCTAGCTGACACCGCTTAGCGATTACGATTGTGCAGACAGTTCAAAGACGCGGAGAAATGCACAGTCCCGAAGGAGATCTTATCAGTTGGCCACAAGGAGCTTAACCAGACCAGAGCCTTGATGGAGAGCATTGCTAAAGACCTGAGAGCGTCGATGCCAGCCCAGCAGAAGACACCTGCGCAAGGCACATCCGATTCGACTCCAAAACAATCAACACAGACCTCAACGCCTACGCAGCCAGCTCCTCTCAATGCAGCGAACCTGGAAAAGCAAAACCAGCTACATAAGAGGTCTTCAAGCAGCCAGGGACAACCGCCGGCTGCACCGACGGCATCCCAGCCGCCGTTTCCTATCCCTTCTGCTCCTTCTCCGCATGGACTACCATCCTACATCGGTGGACCATCCGTCACACGGGAGAACTTGCAATTGCCTCCCCGCAAGAAGCAAAAGTCGACGGGACCGAGCGCGTCCCCGCAAGTTGGCAAGCAGGCGTCTCCGAATCTGCAGAAGCGGCAGCCATCACTGGACCAAGCCGCCGTCCAAAAGCCTCAATTTCATTGTCCGCAGCAAGATTGCGATGGCATCTTCCCCACCGAGGATCTTCGCCAGGCCCACAATCAGGAGGAGCATGTCAAACCTCACGAAGATCCCATCAAATATGTGTTTGACGCCTTTGCTGGTTCCCTAGGACTCGACGCGGAGGGCAAGCCCAGGCCGGAGATGGCTGGCGCGGCAGGTGCTTCCCTGGGCGGTACGCCGTCTCGGCAGGGACAAACACCAGCAGCCTCCACTGCACCAATGTCGCGTGGTCCGTCGATGAAGAGGCAGGAAAGTGCTGCTGGGCCGGCTGACGCAAGTAAGTCGAAGATGACGGGCTCGATCAAGGTGGAGGACGAGACCGCTGCCCAGCGAGGCGCGATGGAGGGCCAATTCACCTTTGGCACAATCGATCCTCAGGATCTGTTCCAGAACCTTGGGGCATTCCAGACGGGTGGAGGCGGCGCCATCTCGGACATGAACGTATATCGGTCGGTCACACCCAACGATACACCAGAGTCGAGCAAGGACAGCGCGTCATCGGAGCCTAACAGTGACGTCTCGGAAGGGGTTACTCTCAACGTGACGCTGGACATGGGCTTCGATACTTGGCAACCGTTTGACAGCGACAAGTATCTCAACATGAACTCGGATGTGGAACTAGACATGCTGGATACAAGCAACATGACTGCTGCGGGCGATCAAGCATTGGCAGACTTCACGTCTTGGGACGAGGTGAATACGGACTTCACGAAGCCATTTTCGTTGGATACGAGCTTTTACGCTTTCGATACTTCATCTTTGTGAGGGCCCGAGGTGGAGGGGGGCCACCAACCCAAGGGCTGATTGGGAACGTAGGTTACAGGTGTAGGCCGGTTAGCTACGGAGAGGCTTCGAAGCGCGATCATTTATGCATGAGGGACCTAGGTATAGAGAGCAATGGGCGTTGGTCAGCCAGGAACTCCTGCTGGCCGGTCAGGGAGGTTTGCTTAAGACGGGGCCGAACGGGGGGCCTGTCCATTGGCGTTTAGGAGTCCAGACTTGGCTTCGGTTCAGCAGCGACAGTAGTGGGGTGGCAAGATGGGTTTTTTATCTCTGATTACGATGCTACCGGCAATTTCTATAGCGACTGGTTTCCACACAGTACTCGGGGAGTTGGGTTCTGATTTGATGGGAGGAAAGCTGTCAACATTGGGAGGACAGTAATACGATACCCGGGCACCAAAAAAAATTGGGGGGAGATTCGGATGGCAGCTTTGGTAAGCCACCATGTGTAATTTGCGGAGCTTGTGTATCAGACCTTTCAATTGAAGGGCTAGTATAGTATAACTAACGGGGAAGCAACATGATCATTCGGACTGCAAGACTTGGAAAGTGCGTGACGGCGAAGCGTAGACCGTCAACAGAAACATGTCGCGATAAGCCTAAAGAAGGAAAGAAAAGAAATTGTGTGTGTGAAGTGAGACACAGACGGCGCCGTCAGTCAAGAAACGATATTCGGTCGTTTCATACGGTTGCGGCCTTGAGAGTCCAGTCATCGTAGGCGTAGCATGTAGTACGGGATTGGAGGTCCTCAAGACTACCCGGCGAATACAAAGCAGTTTCAGCCATTGAATCCTCACTAACACCGCCGGTAGCTGGAGGACGTTGAGGGGGCCCTCGTGTGCTGGTGGTGACTGCGGCATCGCGCGGCAGGGGGAGTTGGGAGGGGGGTTGTCGTCAATCAGGGTGCAATTTAGCGCGTATCCACAGGCGCGGTGCGCGCAGGGCAGGGGGGGGGGGCCAGGTAGCGGGCAGTGGACCCCTACGGCTATGGTAGTGAGTGGCAGCCAACGGGGAGCTCTGTCGGCAGAGAAGCGGGACAGGGCGCTGGAGCTAGGCAAAAGCTGCAAAAGCTAGGGGCTCTGTGCAGGTTTTAGTGCAGCCGCCGTGCGGTTCATCCAACGTATGCAAGGGGCGATTATGCACGGGATCCGTCCCAAAGAGGCAATTTATAAATAAATACGTCGGTTGCATAAGTCATCACGACTCACAACTGGAACCCAAGTTCCGCATTAGCTAGTTATTGCTGCCAACCTGCCCCAGACGCGAGCGAGCCAGGCGCGCATTCGAGAAGGCCAGCCAGCCAGCCCACCGTTCGTTTGATTCAATCATTTATTCATTCATTCATTCATTCATCCATCCATCCATCTGTCTATCTATCCATCCCTCCATTCGTCCATTTGCGTGTGGAACCTCCCGCTTGTCACCACTTCGACACGCGACGCATTGAATCTGTGCTCTGCTACCGTACCTCGCTCACTCTTGCTCCAGATTTCCGTCTAGACAACAGGCCTCAGAGCACAGCTTATGGATTGACTCTCTTCACTACACCCTCTGGTACACCGAAGCGCATTGGTCTAGTGCATTACGTCGCTCTCCCCTCCCCAAAGCCAAACGACGTAAAGAACATCAAAACGGAGACCTGCTGTGACACAATGGAGGCCTCGCCGACCAAGAGACGCGCGTTGGCAACGCTAGATATCAATGCCAACTCCCCCGCAGCCAGCAACAAGATCGCCCAACTGAAGGCCCCGCGGCCACGCGACGCACCTGGCATCAAGAGGAGCGTAGACGTTGCAGACGAGCCGGCGCCCAAGAGAGCATGCACGCCCGCTTCCCGCTGCGGGTCGGCCAAGCCGAACGACGATACGCCTGCTCACGACAGGCGCGACTCAGCCTCGCCCGAGACCTCATCCATCTTTGACAACTCAGTCGTCGACACCTCGCAGGCAACATGTATAACCGAGGTGGACGCGGAAGCCGTGGCGTCTCCGCCGCGACTCCCCCGGCGCCCGACGCTTACACGCGACGAGGCGCGGCAGAAGGCCGAGATCTTGCGCCTCAGGCTCGGTCTCGCGGGCTACAAGCTACGGACTGGGCAGGAGGATGTCCCCCTCGAGCGACTGCGGGTGCGCCAGCTCCCCGGCGAGAGGAGTCAGCCGCGCCGGGGTGCTGCGCGTCCGGCCCCGCAAAGCAGGCCGGCGGAGAGGCTACAGGCCGCGCCGACGGGCACGGTGCCGATGGCGCACGCGCGACCCTCCTCCCACGCTCATCCGTCGCCCGAGAAGAACCTGCTCCCCAGACTGCCGCCGGCGGCCTTCAACACGCCGACGCGGTCACGGTTCGACAGCGACGAGACGCTCACCAGTAGTGCCATCAAGGGAGGCGCCGCCAAGGGACTCCTCAGCCTATCCCGGGGGATGAAGTAGGATGGGGTTGGGAGATGTCGCGCGACAATACCGCCATGTGAGCATCACCGCAGGTTTTCCTGGGCCAGGATTTGCATGTGTAGTTGACGGATTTGGTCATAAGGAACGGTCAATCATTGGTGTGGTTCTGGAGTCTCGGCGTTCAATGGGATCATGATGGGCAATAAGCAAGGCAGGCAGGTGTCGGCTGCCGGGGCGGATTGTATGATCTGGTTCTCAACGTGGTGAGAATTGTTTCATGAACCATGTTCTACGCGGAAGCAGCCACCGACTCAAGCTGAGGCAGGATTTGCCGCGATATGCAGGGTATCTAGGCCGCTGCAAGGTTCTAGACAACTCCAGCAGACAGATGTAATGGCCGATCCAAAACAGCCGCCCACGCTGGCTTGAATGCTGATACCCGAGCTTGCGTCCGTTCCTGCCCGCCACTACTACTGGCTCTTTTGCAAAGCTGTGCTCGAGATTCATCCGGCGAGCACATCCACTCCTCCGTCGCCGTACTTTTCCTCGCCCCCAAACCCTCCCCCTCTCCCCTCAACGTACTCTTTGCGCATCGAGAGCTGTCAGACTCGTCTTGGGAGTCTCCCTTCGGGGGTGTACCGCTCGGCATTGACGTACGCTGGGCTGCTGCGAGAACAGACCCGTTGACGTGTTGTTGTTGTCGTTGCTGTTGTGCGTGCCTGCCCTTCGTTGGATTCGGGCGTGCTCCTGCCTCGGGTCCAGAGATGCCTCGTCCAAGGAAAAGGAAAAGGAAAAGGAAAAGGAAAAGGAAGGAGGCATGGGGCTCTGGGGTGTCTGCCCGCACGGCATGAGGTATCAGCACGGGCGAGGTGTCGTTACCTCTGTCCCCGTGCCCTACATATATTCAGCTTGGTCGTCTCGTTCCCAGTCTCCGAGTATCTTGTTTCGTCCGGGTCCCGACAGCGACCAACATAACCCTGCTCGGCTGTCAATCTCGCCCGCACTCCAAAGGCATCGCCATGCGCTCTTCGACAGTCACGTACGTATACCGCTGTGGCTGCACCGACACGATTGTCTTCGACTTCGGCGTGAGTAGCTTTCTCAACGTCAACTCTCCCATGCCCCGCGAGACTATCACAACTGTACTCGACGAGCTCTGTTTCGACTGTGACTCCATCCCAACTTTTGAGGCTACACCACCATCTCCATCGCCGCCACGGCCTCCTGCTCCACAGCCAGAAGCTTCCCCTGGGTCCTCGCCGAAGAGACCTGCATTGCGTGAACTCCCTCTTAATGCCGTGCCGACACTCTGACACGGCGACCATTCGGGTGCAGCGGGTCAAAACCATACAAGCAACACTGCTGCAGGGGAAGATGCGACGATCACCGCCGCTCGGGGCGCACATTTCAGAAGGCGGTCATAGCCTGGTACGCCATAGTCATGTGTTAGTGTTGGCGAGAGTCTCCGGTAATGTGACTTCGACAGGCAAATGCTGATGAGGTGGCGGAGGGGAAGGTCCCCATCAACCACGCTAACCCTCGAGACACCGACTGCGCATTGATTTGTCGTGCTCGATATTCGGATTCAAACTCACCAACCATGTATACTGACGGTATATTGTATGGGATCTGACAACTGGGACGTGGTATGACAGACTACAGTATATTCGACAGGTCCGATTTTCATGGCACCCCCTCAGCTATGCTCTCAACACTTTATCGGTCTCTAGCTCAACGGATATGCGTGGAGGGAATCTGACCAGAACGCAAGCTCGCTCACTATAGAAAACGAAACATATGCATCCATATGATAGGGACTATAATCTCCCCAGAAAATTTCCCTTCGCTTGTTTGAAGTATTGTAGCATAGCCCGTGGCCTAGGAACACCTTGGCTGCAGCATGGTACAAAGCACGCCCTATACCAATCGTAAGCTCTCGTTCTTGAGTGCCATTGGTTCATTGCGCGAACTGGGGTGGCGGCCAATCAGAGGCTGACTTGATGATTCCGGATGCTTGGCCCAAACTCTGACAGGGGTTGCACTCATGGATCTGGATACCCCTGACAGAGCTGACTTGCAGTTTGCGAGGCCTCATTCGCCCAGGGGAATCGGCGTTCTGCTCACGCTCTCTACTTGATATATTACATTTCGGCTTGCCATGGGCATGGAAGCAGGCCTGGTTGTATCTTTGGTCGGTTCTTGACCCTTAGGTTAGGCTTAGCCCCTCCCCCTTTCCACAAGGACCATAACCCCTGCACGAAGGGAGCATCAGTATCGGTGGAGGCTCTCTGTGTTGCGCATGAGCCGTACGGTCATTCGCCACCCTTAAAATGATGAACATATATGGGCGGTGGATTGTTGCATGCCAGCCCAACGAATGCCATGCGACATGGATGGTACGGCACGAAGAATAAATATCTTATCAGCCCTCTCTACCTGGTGATGTTTCCGATGGCCACCACGTCACTCTTTTAACTCGTCTTGCGTTCTGCAAATCTTGAGGTCGCCGTTGGAAATGGTGCCAAGTGCCGGACTATATACCTGCAATCATTCAAGCACCCAGTAATTGTTCGCAATATTCAATGATGAAGGGGTCATGGTGTGGCCTGGTCGTGGTCGCATGGTCTGTGGCATCGTCTTGGGCAAGCCCCTTGTCCTCATCAGACTTCGCACTTCATTCGTCCTCTGAAACAGACCTGATGATACGGAGGGGGATTGAACTTGCGCACACTCGAGAGTTGGAGAAACGACTCTCGGAAGAGTTCTCTATGGATAAAACCTGGGACAACGAAACGCTTTTCGGCGGGTATGTCAAGGCGCACCAACAGACTTACAGTATGGGGGCTAACTTCGATCAATCCTAGCTCGTGGACAGATGACGTGGAAGATGCAACTGGAAAGACAGCTCTTTCCGTTGTCTGCCTGCACTGCTACACCAAAGGCACTGTGACGGCCAGGTTATGGGAGGACCTCTTCCATCCAACTGTGCGGCTCGAGTTTGATCAAGTTGAAGCATACGCTTTCTTGGGAGTAGAGACAAGCGCCAGCGGCACCTTTTCCATCAACCTCTTTGCCTCGCAGTCCCCTATAGGGCTTGCATTTCCGGGCTTGAGTGTCGGCGTCGTGTTCTTCGTGGATCTGGTGTTCAGCTTGTCTGAGCAGATCGACCTGACCGGGGGTTTCTATGTGAAACTGGCAGACGATGCTTACCTCGAAGCTGATATCTTCGGTGGGGATATCACGGATTCCTTCTTGTAAGACTTCCCCCAGCAGTCCAATGTCTACGGTCTGATCAGCATAACTATAGCGATGGCATCAGTAGCAAGTCTATCCCGGTCACTGTCAAGTCTGGTAGCGCCACATTCAAGGCGGACCTCCGACTCCGTGTACAGTGTGGTGCCGAGACATCTCTGGACATCATCGGCATTGGCAGCGGTGCCGTTGTCGGGATTTACGCCAATATCATAGAGTTCGTCGCCGTTCTAGACTCGACGCCGGACTGTGCTTTGCAGGCCAGAGAGTGGTGGGATCTCAACGTTGGCGCCTATGCGCACCTCGATGTTGTTGTGGACTATACTACTATCGGGCCGGTGCCAACCGTCTCGACCACGTTGCTGACAGCTCCCACCATGACACAATGCTTGATAGAGGCGAGTGCATCAAGTGCTTTGACGGCGACCTTGCCAGAAACCGCGGCAACGACTCGCACAACAACAGCCTCGCAGTCCGGCAGAGAAGGAACTTCGGCTTACTCCTCCTCAGCCCTGCAATCAAGCTCGTGGGCGGAAACATCCACCAGCCCCTCCACATACTCATATCTATCCGAAACCTCCTCAATCACTTCGCCCCCTGGGCTCAGTACCTCCGCGCCCCCCTCCGTGGCCTCCAGCTCAAGATACCCATTGATCAATTCGACAACAACATCAGCCAATGATACTGGACTGGTCACGTCCACCATCTATTCCACGACCGCCTACACCCTCACAAGATGCGCAGCTGACGTCATCAACTGCCCGGCCTCGTACCAGACGGAGGTTGTCGTGACCCGGACTCTTGACGTCTACACCACCGTCTGCCCGGCCTCGGCGCAGGTAGCCACGACCCCCCTTGGGACTCCACTGTTCTCTTCTCCCTCCTCACCGTCTGCCTCTACATTGGCCGCCCTAGCTACACCAACAGCGGTGCACATCGTCACTGACCAGGTGGTCATGCTGACTCCTTGCGCCACCCCCATCGTGGACACCTTCGTGCCGCCGCCTGTTTCTACGGCTCCGGTGGTCGAGCACATCGCCGTCGCTGGCTACACATCCTCCGCCTCGACCGGCCATTTGAATCAGTCGATCACGAGTTCAGTAAGGCCACAATCTTCCAGTGCAACTAAACCGTCTTTCGTGGCCTCTCATGGCACTGGGAGTAAAAGCGTGGCCTTGTTTACGCAGGCGCCGATGACCGCGGGCGCAGTTTCTAACGGCAAGTCTGTGCTGTTCGCATCGGTCTTCGTGGTAGGTGCACTCGCTCTGCTCCAATGAAAAGCAGCCGGCGATGGACGGGGTTTAAATTTCACTGTAGTTATTCTATTTATTGCATACTGCCAGCGGCCCGCACCTATCCCACGATAATCATCCCCGGGGGGGGGGGGGGGGGGGGTCCGGCTCATACTCAGATATTCAATCTGCTGACGTAGAGATTGATACTTAATACAATATCACGGTAATCAAGACTTCAATTCATTCGATATTAGGTCGGTTCTTGAGTATTTTCTATTCATAATTCGGCTATAATTGACATGTCTCATGAGCATCACTTTGCTATATTGCCCAACCTTACCCAACTAAGCACACTTGAAGCTGGATAGATGCCACAAGGACTAGATACTTTTGCTCATGAACCAAAGTCCATCTTGAGCGCAATGGTTGGCTGTCCGCTGGTACTCACGGCGCCCTTGTCCGCGTCACCCGTCGCGCGTCCCGACCGGATGACCTCCTCCATAAACGCTTTTTGGCCCTCGCTCATAGCCGCCACGATCCCCCGGAATGCGTTTTGATCCGCAGACGCCATTTCCAGCAACCTAGTGCTCGTCTCGCGATACACGTCGGCGCCCTCGCTTGAGGCACGCGAGAGCAGCGCGGGTGCCACGACTGCCATCACGATCTGCGCGTGGTCGCTGCCGACGGCAGCAATGTATTGCGTCAGAGTATGGGCAACCAGCTTGCGTGCATTCTCCGGGTCCTCAGGATCCGTGTTGGTTACAAAAGCGATGAGGCGTGGCAGGAGATAACGCGCAATTGACTGGTCTGCGAGTGTGGGCGCCGGCTGGAGGAGGAGGGAGCGAACGCAATTCGCAGCGATCTTAGCAGTCTGTGGCCGTTTGCAATCAATAATCACGTTTCATTGCATTCTGGTGATGGGACGAGCGGAGTACTTACCATGCGATCCGTGAGACAATCAATCACCTCATCGAGGAAGCGCGTGACTAGTGGATCATTGACCGCGAGGCGGTTATGACCTCCGGTGAAGAGAATAGTTGTCGCAAGAAGACAATTCTTGACACACGGGAGCGACGTAGGTGACTCACGCTTCTGTCCATGCAGGTAGATAGACAGGAAGCGGCGCAAGCACCCTTGCAGTTGCACCGTCGATGGGGCTTTGCCATCGGCCGTTGGCTGGGCATTGGACATGCTGGTGATGAAGCGCTTCAGCATTGGCAGCGCTTGCGGGACAATAATCTGCTGGCAGGAAGGTGTGGCGATGATGGTGGCGAATATGTGAATAATGCACGCATGAAGATCTGTCTTGATGATAGCAGGAAACACCTCGGCTGCATCAACAAGGGCACTGAGCGCGGTCCGTATAAGTAGGACAGCTTCCTCGGTCAACTGGTGACGAACTGGCTGATTCGCTTCTGTGAGATTGGGCAGAAGGCCCGACAGCACAAGGACAATAATGCGGGTTAGCTCGAAAAGCTGCTCAATGTCTTCGGACAAGTCGCCGCTCTCGGGTTGTTCTTGCTTTCGAGCAGAAGGATGGGCAACGCACAAAGCACGGGCTATCTCAACAATCACTCCCTGTACATCTAAACCTTCGGTGAGTACAAGTCGGTCAAGGAGATCCATCGTCTCCGAGAAGATGGCTTCTCTGTAGATTGCATGGCCCGACACGCTTGGGTGCAGAATCTTCTTAAGTGCCTGCAGGATTTCCAGCGTCTGTTCGTGAGTTGCCAGCGAATCGGCTTGGCCGGGACGAGTGGCTAGAGCCTCGAACGCAATCCCGAAGAGGACAAAGAAGAAGGCGACCGGCTCATCTCGATAGTTGATGTCCGCTCCTTTGGAATGGCCATTGGCTGAGGGCCCTTCGGTTTCCTTGCCGTCAAGGGCGTCGAAGACGAACTCGCTGTCTTGTTCAATAAGACTGGCGATAGCATCGACGAGTTTCAACCACGATTCTTGGTAGAAACGGAGAAGCGTCTCGCGATTCAAAGCAGCATATATGGTATCCAAGCTGCCGGAAAGAGACGGGGGCCCAAGAGTCATCGAGATGTCCGGCTCGAAACGGAGTCGAGCGAATTCACGAAGCGAAGACAACCAAAGAGGAGTCAATGTCCCTATGTGCGGTTTCAACACATCATACAGATACTTCTGCTCTAGGCTGGCCACCTGTAGATCTGCCCAGGCTGAAAACACTGACATCTTCACCATAATCTGGGCGTTGGAGCTAAGTCCTTGAAGATCCCCAATGCTCGCAGTCTCCGAATCCTTAGAGAAGTTTTCGAGCGCTGTTACCAATGTCTTCAGGATGCGGCCCATTCGGTCGACATCCGTCACGATTCCTGTCGAGATAAAAGCAGCACAAATGTGAACAGCTTCTGAAGCCAGCTCGGGCGAAGAGTCCGCGGCGAAGGCGGGGGTCAAAGCAGAGCTGATCTGAGCTTGGTACTGTTCGAGAAGCATGGCCTCCTCGAAGTCGGGGTCCGGAGTTTTACCAAACATTCGTAGAACGGCGCCGATGATCTTCAGGCCCCAGATTCTGAGTTCCAGAACGCTCGAGGTGGAAGCGGAGAAGGCCATGCGGACAACTTCGGCAATTCTAGCCTGCAGCGCAGTCTGCGCAGGCGACTCCCCGTTGGTGGCCAGGTCCTTGTTGATGAGAACAAATATCTCGTTCAAACAGCTCATGGCAAATGTCCTGACCTGCCAGCGCAACGGTTCGACCTCTGAACCCGCTGTCTGTTCCTTTTCATCCTTAGAGCCGCCAGTTGCGGCGGCGAAGCCGGCCACCTCCTCATCTTGAAGATCCACCACAGCGGTGGGTCTGGCCGCACCCTCTCTGGTTTCGGCTGTTGCTTTTGTCCTTGTCAATTTGAGGACATTCTGAAGGCGTAGTAGCCAGGCAGATGTATCCATCAGCGATGTCTGGCGTATCCAGTTACGGATTATATTACGGATACCATCATGGGTGGGGCAAGAGTCGAGAACCAGCCATAGCTGATCCTCGAAACCGGGATCAGCAGCTTCAAGAACATCGCTCGAGTTTCTCTTCATGAGATTATAGAGCCCATCTACGGCCGCATCTCGCAATGTCGAGACTTCACTGTTGAAGTACTTCTGCAAGAGCTTGACATAGTCCACAAAAATCATGTTGCCGGGGGCGTAGAGAGACAGGTGCTCCAAGCAACCCAGGCTAGCGCGCTGGACCGCGTGATCATCCTCTTCCTGAAGTTGGCCTATGAGCGTCAGAATCAGCTCTCGAGATTTGGTCGAATCTTGTAGGTCAGGTCCTAGAACATTGATCAGCGAGTCCACACAACGCGTGATGGAACCGCTTGTGGAAGATTCTATCTCTAGGTTCATCGAGATGGGTGATGCGACTTCCGGGTGGTGCGTATCCGAGAGATACAATTGCGCCAGCATACCCAAGGTGCTGGACACAAATGGAGCGAACCCTAGTCCAGCAGCGTCTGCCGCCAACGAGAGGGCCTCAAGTGCCCAGTAATGCACAGTAGGGTGTGGGTCATTGCAGAGAGACATGAGGATTCCCAATATTGTTTTGAGATGGTAGCCGGCAGCCATGCCGCCCACCTTGGCCTGAATGCACCCTAGAGCCATCGCACAACCGGCTCGCGCACTAGGCTCCCTGTTGCTGACGATGGTGTCCACAAGATGCTTGATCTCATGGTTGGTGAAGGCATTGCCGCACGTATTGCAGAGCCTTGCGGTTGCAGCATACCCAATGCCGCGAATGTACTGGTCAGGATCAACCACGAAACCTCGTACAATCTCCTGCAAAAGTTTCTCTACCGCCAAGTTGGTCACGTCGCCAGGAGCAGATGTTGTCTCCTTGGAAGCTACCTTGAGTGCAGAGAGAAGAGCAGCCGCAATGTTGACGTTTATGGCGGCCCTACGCCCAGGGTCTCGTTGCAAGACACCGGCAGACATGAATGAGGCCAGCTGTTCAAGAATACTCTCCTGGACTTTGGCCGGGGTGAGTGGGAACACAAAAGCGAATAGCTGGATAGCCATGTTGACGACCTCCGTCGCTGGTGGATCTGGCAAAGCCGGAGACTCTTGCGAGCTGCCCACGTAGAGCAGGGCTGCGTCATGCTCGAGGGAAGAGCAGATTGGGGACTTGAGAAGGTCATCGAGAACTTGCTCGGTGTCTTCATCCTCCGAAGAGGACTCGTTGGCGGATGTGACTTGCTCACCTGGCAGCTTCTTGAGCCTGAAGCCGCTTACAAGGCCTGTGATTCCGAACCCAGAGTTATCCCCGACTTCCCAGACAGACTCAAAATTGCCTGCAGCATTTGCAATGGACGCACTGAGCGTGTTACCACCGTAGTTCTCGGGGTCTGCAAATAGAGACGTTGCCAATGTAAGTAGATTTGACTGCAGCAACGCCTCACTGCCGCCAGCGGGGCTCTGGTTGACCAACTTGGTATAGCACTGGAGGACACGCCGCTGGACCATTAGGTCAAGATCCTGCAATTGTAGCGCAGGAGTCAGCCGTTGTGCGATGTCGTCGCTTGTCTTCTTGGACGGGAGTGTCTTGAGGAACGCCGCAGTGCTCTGCAACATGGTCGCAATGCGCTTCGAGACATCAACCGTCAGGAGGCGGCTGTTGAACTGGAGAAAGGCGAGAATGGAGCCGAGGGCGCATTCCCTGACGTGGGTTAGGAAGGAAGCCTCCAGCAGGCTGCGCTGGGCCGTGTTGTCTTTGGCCAACGGCTTTGGCAGTGCGTTTTTCCACAGGAGAAGCAACTGGGACAGATGGATCTTGACAAAGTTAGGACCCAGCGACATGAGTCCGCCAATCAAAATCCAAGCAACCTGTATCTGGGTACTTGATACGCGAAGCTCCGATTTCCCGCTCGACTTGAGGAGGTTCGTTGCCATTGTCAAGACGCGGCTATTGATATCAACAGACCCATAAAGTGGGCGCTGAGGGCTGACACTGAGAGTCGCTGCCAGGCCGTGGGCGAATCCAATGCACCTCCTCGGAGAGTTCCTGCCCGTGCCCAGTTGAGAGAGCTCCCGGCTAAGACTGTTCATGCACACAGAGAGGCAAGGCAGCAGCTGTTGCGGACAGGCTCGTACGAAGCTCTTCATGCAGTGCGAAGCGTGAACCTGCACGCTGTAACTGGGGTGTTGGAGTACCTGCAAGAGGCCGTCGCGGCAGGACTCGGCGAAGTTGTTGGCGGCTGCCCCTACAGAGTCGATGAGAGAGGCCACTGCGCCCAGGGTGGCGATCAGCGTGTGCTTGCTCGGTTCCGGCTGCTCTTTCAAGGCCTGTGGGTAATTCTTGAAGACGTTGGTCACGGTAGCCCTGGCGGCGGCCATCTGTCCTGATTCGCCAAGAATCTTGCGTCCAACAACGTTCTGGAGGATAGAATCGACGATGCGCCGCGACATGAGCAGTCTGTAACGGTTGTTCGTGATGTTGGGGCTACCCAACAGGTCAACCGTGAGGTTCTCTACAATCTTGAGATAATTAACCTCGACAATTCTCTCGCCAAGCTTCCTCAGCAGGCGCCCATAGCAGACGCCGACGGCAGTTCTGGCCCTATTGGTAGTAGACAAACGGACAAAGTGAGTGGAAAACGTCCTCAACATGTCCACCAGCGTCAGCGCGAGGATTTGGGACTTCTTGCCACCACCAGGGGCTGGACTTCCTGGACGCGAGGGAATATCGTCGTCCTCGGCCAGTCCTGCCCCTGGCTGAACGGAAGCGCGCTTGCTGGCCTTGGACTTGGGCTTCCTGATCTTGGGTATTGCGCTCTCGGCAGCGCCAAGTTCGGAATGGCTCTTGACCATAGTCTCAGCCAGGCACTCGGCGGCAGCGTGTCGGACCTGGGAAGAGGTAGAGTCCATGGTCTTGAACAGATCCGACTTGAGTTTCTCGAAGTCACTGGAGTTCTCGAAGTAGGAGGTGTAGCCGCATAGGGTCTTCAAGCAGCGACAAGCAGCAATGACGGCCACGGCGCCCTTGTCACCCGACGCAGCGCTCCGGGCCTGCTTCCAGACATCTCGCGCCACGCTCTCGTCCATGCTTCCAGCAACCATGGCGGCGATCTTGGCCAGCGAGGCGAGGATGGCGGCGCGCAAGCCAGCATTGCTCGAGGTGGACTTGAGCAGCTTGACCAGGGTGCTGCACACAAGCTGGTGGAGGCCAATGGCGCTGTCGCCGGCGGCGCCGTACACGTCGCCCAGACAAGTTACGGCAGCATGCCTCGTCCGAACCTCGGACTCGGTCTTGGCCTTGGAGTTGGAAATGATGGCCACGAGGTCATTGATGGTCTCGAACAGCAGCTTCCGGTCGCCCTTCTCAAAGACGTGGGCAAGGATGGCGCCGAGGTCGTTCCTGACTACGCGGCTTGGCGAGGGCGCGGCGAGGTTGAGGATCTGGAAGACCTCCTTCTTCAGGTAGAACTGCTGGGCAGTGCAGTCGTCGGCGGCCAGGCTCTTGACGTGCTTCCGCAGGGCGGCAACCGAGGTCAGCAAGAACAGGTCCTGCTGCTCGGCGGGCAGCGACTGCAGCTTTGGCACATCGAGCTCGGGATTCTGGGTGGCAGAATCAGCGGCAGCCGAGGCGCTGGTGGTGGTCGGGGCCTGACGAGGCGGCGACGGCGACGGCGACGGCGATGGAGGGCGGGCGTCGGCGTCGTCGCCATGGTCGGCAGGAGTCGCCGGCGACGACATTGGGGGTGACGGAGTGCTCTAGGGGGCGTCGTAGGACCACAGGGACCGGCGCTGTGGTCGGCAGAGAGAGTGTGGCGGGTTGGTGTGGTTGGAGATGTATCATCAATCAAGGCTGCTTCCGGCGGCAGCAGTGGCAGTATGAGACGAAGCTGAGGTTCTACAGGGTTTGAGGGTGTTGCTCTGTCAAGTCAAGGCCCCCCTAACTCAGGTCAAGCTGGCAGTTGCAACAGGGCTCCCATTGCTGGCAGCCAATCGTAGAGCTGGCTAGGCGTACCTAAGGCGCTTGACTAAAGTTTGCATAGTAATACGTACCGCACTAGACGGTACATGCATAGTAGCTGGCCGGGCTTGAGGCGGCCAACGAGCAGCCAGCTACCGCGGCCCAGGGCACCCACCTCCCCGCGAAATAGAGGAGCTCACAGCACCCATCACCCGTGGACCTGCAGCCGCTTTACGGCGGATTTTTGTTGATCCCTCAAGGTCGACGTCGACGTCGACGTCCACGTCCACGTCCACGTCCACTGTCGGGTACACACTGGGCCTGTGGACCTAACTAAGGTCCTAGTTAAACCACCCAGAGAAACTGTGTAGGAGAGGCATCGCCTTTACTTGGACCAGCTCCCTCTCCTTTGGGCCACAAAAGTAAGGAGGCCCCCCATACACTTAACTGATTATAGTCTTGGTTGTGGGCGGCTGTTTATGTCCGTATGGTATACTTCCACCGGATCGACCCCTAAGTTAGTCCTTTTCTCGTCCCCGTTTCTTTTTTCTCCCCTCTCCCTTGACTCTTTGGGTCACGTGTAACGCTGGCGGCGTGCATGTATACCATGGTTTCCGCATTCTCAGGGAGACGTGCAGCTTCGCAGCTGTTGGGGGCGCCAATCTGTGCCCAATGTCGCCGCGCCTTTTCCTCCAGTCCGGCCGTCTTCAGTGGCCACAACCGGTGGTCCAAGATCAAGCATGAGAAGGGAGCCGCCGACAAGAAGAAGACGGCGGCGCGCAGTCTCTTCGCCAAGAACCTCGTCCTCTACACCAAGCTATATGGCGCAAATCCGGACCTGAACCCCCAGCTGGCCCGCGTCATCACCGAGGCCAAGAAGTCGGGTATGCCCAAGGCCAACATTGAGCACGCCATCGCGCGCGGCCAGGGCAGGTCCGCCACGGGCGAGAAGCTGGAGACGGCCATGCTGGAGGTCCTGGGCCCCGGCTCCGTCGCCGTCATCATCGACATTGAGTGCGACAACAAGCAGAGGGCCATCAAGGACCTCAAGGTCGTTGTCAAGAAGCACCTGGCCACCGTCACGCCGACGACTTTCCTCTTCACCAGGCTGGGTCGGACGAGCCTCAGGCCCAAGGCGGCCGAGGGCCAGGATTTTGACGACATGTTCATGCAGGCGGTCGAGGCCGGCGCCGAGGATGTCGAGCAGGACGACGACGGAAATGTGGTTGTGTGGACGCAGCCGGCGGCCACACACCAGACCGCGCAGGCCCTGAGCGTGGCTCTCGACGCCGAGATCGTCACGTCCGACATCATCTGGAAGCCGACGGCCGACACGGTCAAGCTGGACGACGAGGCTGCCGCTGCACAGCTGGGCGACTTCCTGGCGGCTGTTCGGGACAATGACGACGTGCAGGCCATCTACGCAAACCCGGAGAAGGGTCAGATACCGGACGAGGTGTGGAGATCGATAGACGACAATCTCGACTAGTGCTAGGCCAGTTGAGACCAGAGATATGTACAGTATTTAGAGAGATAGACATGAACGCGGCGTAGAAGGCTGGGCGAGTGCGGGCCCCCGAACCACGCGGAGACCCCGTGTCCCAAGCTACATACAACACATCAAACGACCTGTGTACGGCGGCCGCGCGGCGCAATTGGCGCGACAGCCCACCGCCGGCTGTAGCGTCTCCAGCTCCTGTATAATACATTTTTGAAGCATTCATCATCCCCCATGCCATGAACCCCAAGAAACTCCATGCAAATGCGCAACCTTGACCACGGACAGCCGAATACACAATGCATTAGCTGTTCCCTGGCATATTGTACAACATATACCGTACAGTATGGCATGACACCGGCTCATCCAGGCCCGGTAGCCCCGGAATCGCCCTGCCCGATGCCAGACAGACAAGCCTCTACCAGAACCATCCGCGCTTCGCGGGCTTGGCCTGGTCAGCCTGCTGGGCCGGCACGCTCTGCTCCGGAGCCGGGGCCGACGGGACAGGCGGGGGCCGCCTGGCCTCCTCCTCCTCGAGCCTCTTCTCCCTCAGGTACAGCCTCCGGGCCCTCAGTCGCTGGAGCTCGGCGTGGATCTCGTCCTTGTCGAGCGGCACGCGGTTGGCCTGCTCGGGCTTGGGCCAGAAGTCGGGCACGGCGAAGCGCTCGTCGAGGTTGGTGCCGAAGTAGTACATGATGCCGATGGGGAACATGACATACATGCCGAACTAGACAGCGAGAGACAAGACCGTCAGCTTCTGCGGTGGTTGGACGGAGGCGGCGAGGGGTTGTGACGGGGGGTTGCGACGAACCTTGAAAACCTCTAGGTTGAGGCCGCCCATTGTTGCTGGAATAGCTCGGATGGGGAGGAGATGACTGATTTTTTTTTCCCCTTGCGATCGGTTCTTTGCTGTTTGATATTTCACCTAGCTCTCGTCGCCCGTCGTTCAGTGGTCATGACGTGGTGATTGTCGCGGTCATCGGGGGATTGGAGCAGAGCTGGCGACCGTCGATGGCCTGTTAATAAGCCGAAATTTTGGTTGGCGCTGGGCTAGCTAGGACCTGGGCCGGCACTGGGCAAGGGGGGCAATGGTCGCAAGGGTCGCAGTCCGGTACCATGTACTTCGGCGAATGGGCTCCGCCGGCATGCATCAAGCTCCGATAGCTCTAGAAACCGGAGCCGGGATCCAATTATCATGGGCTGCATCATAAATTCACATGCTGATAGACAGGCTCAAACCTCGACTATGGGCTGGGGCCAGCGAGCAGTACGCAGGCAGATCACTTCATTCCCAGTATCAATCACCGTGATGCAAGCTTTATACGCCTGGCTAATTCGCGTCGCATCACTCTGCCAACACGTGAACCGTTCAATCATTTCCCATCAACATAGTCCTTGTTACCCCTTGGTCATCATTCATCATCTATCTACAACTTTTCGTAACCCTCCAGGCCGCGAGGCCTCTCCTCCCTATAACCCGCTTCAGCGTAGCCCAGAACCCATCCTCCGCCCAGTCCAGGTCATCGAGATTAAAGTGCTGCCGGTGCCGCCAGACCTCGCGGAAGCGCAGGCCCTCTAGACCTTTGTTGTCCAGGTACGGATCGAGCCAGGTCGCCGACAGAGGCGCGACAAGGTAGGTGCCGTTGCTCTCTTTGAGATACTCGTTGTTCCTCCGGTCGGCCGGCGTGTCGCACGTTGCCAGCCTCCCCAGCTCCTGCAAGAGCGCGGCGCCCTCCATATCCATGACATCCTGTGTCCGTAGCACCTCGTTCTTGCCGTTCAAGAGCCAGATCGGGGGCATGTACGTCTTCCACCAGATGGCCTGCGTCGCATCGGGCTGTTTGCTCAGGAAGACTTGTCCCGGCACGATCCCCCCTTGGTGATAGACCCCCATCAGCAAGGAAAGGAGCACGTTGAACGTGACCCAGGCCCCGACCCAGGCTTTGAGCACCGTTGGGTTCTTGGGCAGCTGCACGGACGACAATACAAGGGGGATGGTAGGGAGTAGGAACCGCGCCTCCTGGTGCTGGAAGATGGATAGCACAAAGATGCCAGAAATGGCCGAGTAGAGCCGCAGTGACAGGTGCGGCTGGAAGAACAGAAGACCAGCCGCGGGGCCAATCAACATGGGTATGTTCACCAGTATGTGCTGGTACCACGGATGCAGTCCATGCTGAGCCAAGTTGGCAGGGGATATGTTGTACCGGAGGTTATTCCAGGGTGTGATGACCGGGTTGCGCACCAGATCTAGCCAGGTGATGGAGTGTGGAGTGTAAAACGAGGTATCGAGACCAATAGCAATTATGATGGTGACGAGGGCCGAGGCAGCCAAAACGATTAGAGACAAAGGCCTGGGGTACAGCGTCAGTACGTGGGCGTCCACCTGGTAGAGATCATGGCTGTTTGGGTTTGGAGGATTTGTCAGACTCACTTATTCCAAAAATGGGGTATCAAACGAAATCCAGGGATTAACAAGAAGGCGGGAAAGGTTATTCTATTAAAGACGCCAAAGACAGCGACCACGCCGAGCACCATTGACGCCATCAGGGCAGGTGTTTTCTGCGACTAGACAGTAGTAGATTCAATTAGCCACAACCCGGTCGTCATGCTTCAAGTGTGTGTGTGTGTGTGAGAGAGAGAGAGAGAGAGAAGCGACTTACAGAGGGAGTGCCTAGTATACGCTCCATCAGTACAAGGCTCCACGCAACGATCAGGGTTTCTATCGAGTTTGAAAAGGTGTGCGTCTGGTAAGTCCATGTGACGTAGGACGACGCGACCAGGACGATGGCGACCCGGCGGTGGCGCGGCGACTGCACGAGCTCGTGGACGGCCCAGTCCTCCAGCACAAAGCTGAGGACGAACATGAGCACGCGCAGGGTCCAGAAGACGGCGATGGGGGGGATCTCGCCGTCGTTCCCGTTGCCGATCCAGAGCCAGCGCAGCAGCAGCATCGGCAGCCCGTAGACAGGCCACAGCGGGAACACGCTGCGGATGGGGTGCTCGCTGGTGAACTCCCACGTCCGCCGCACCGGGTAGCTGAAGATCTCGCCCGCGATGACCTCGGGGCCCTGGAAGTTCTCGTCCGGGTGCAGGTAGCTCGGCGACAGGGCAAACCACAGCCGGACCAGCACTAGCAGCAGATATGTTCGCCTCCACATGTTGGCGATTGATCTCGTCGTCTTGGGCTGGGCGCCGCGGTCAAAGGCATCTACCCAAATATCCTTGTGTCCCGTCGTGCCCGGTTTGGAATGCTGGCAGCGCAGAGCAACGGCCCAGCGGGGCTTTTGCAGCGTCGGGGGTTCGTGTCCGTCGGGAATCCGTCAGAGTTTCGCTATGCACCGGTCCGGCGGCGTCGCATGGCCGGGGCAGGCTCTCGTGTTGTTGGGGGTTGAGCACACCAAGATAAGACAGCTACAGCGACAGCGACAGATGCGCAAGCTGCCGGGCAGGGCGGGAAGGCGACGGCGTCGGCGTCGGATCGTCGGACAATGAGACGGAGCCCTGGGGTTGAAGCACAGATCAGGCCGTGTATAGCCTCCTACAGACCGGGCTGGGCGTTTCGGTGGGTTTTACTGTGAAGCGAGGTACGGGAGGGAACAAAGCAACAAGAAGCAATTCCAAAGCGCAAGAGGGTATCTATCTATGTGGTGGTTTAAAAGGTGGTCGCATCCAAATCAAGGCACGGATGTTTAGCCCATGGCGATGATGGGAAGACCAGAAATGAGCTGACAACAACCCACGCGGCTCGAGCCTTTTTTTTTTTCTTCTTTCTCTTCTTCACCCTTCCCCCTTCCGTCACTCTGACTTGCTGTCAGGGGAGAGGACGGGAGGCAATCTCTCGAATCATACAACACGCCAACAACAGCACGCGACGAGAACACGCTGGCACAAGGATGGGTCCGGATCTGGAAATTTCGAGGTCAGCCCCCCATGCTCCCCGTCTAGGGGGGCCAAGGGGCGGCCAAGGGGCGGCCCTTGGAGCTGTTCCCGTGCACCACGGCCAAATCCAGCGCTACGCGAAATTCTTTGCAGGGATCCGAGCTGCACAACATTAAAAAGCTCGACCCAAGCTGTCAGCCATTCAGCCTTAGCGCAGTAACCGCCCAATTGGATGTAGAATCATGGCCGGGATGTAAGGCCACTAATAACATTGGATCCGTGGACTCAAGTACCGTACGTAGTGCCTATGTTGAATGTGTAAGGGAGGACATTGGCCAGTGTTGCCTTCTTCCGCAGATGCCGCCGCTGGGTGGCATGTTCGAGACATGACCGGCCGATAACCAGGTAGACAGCACATAGTGGGATGTTCTACTATCCTCCGGCTGTCCGTCTGATTCCGGTCCCAATCTCGCTATCCGCAATCTGCCATACATTCTCGACATATAGCGGATGGCGGATGGCACGCAAACATGACAAACACTCCAACCAACATTCTCCCCGAACCCAACCATATTATAGCGTATTCTAGGGGCGGAGGGGGGAGGGCCTGGCTAAGAAATGGGATGGGGAAAAAAGAAAAAGAAAAAAAGCTACACGCATCACAAGATACCGAGGCTTGGTTTTATTTGAAACTAAATGTGTATGGTACAGTCTTCATGTCTATCTACATCGTACGTACGGGTCCAGAAGGCTCATTATTTCCCACGCCCTCCCAGCCAATACAACAAACCTCCCAGGCCTACGTTGACGGCGAGATGCTGCCCCAGGCCCCATGCCATGCTGTAGAGATACTTGGGAGAAAACACGGTCCAGATAAACAGATGTGTTCTGAGCGCCGTGCACGCTGCCATGACGAAGCCAAGGCTCGTCGCCACAAATAAGGTCAACAGTGCAATATGCATCTGATAAACCTCCCCTGCGCCCCCAGCTTTGCGCCGCACCAGAAGCAGATTCGTGGCCGATGTCCACCATACAGGGGCAGCCCAGTTGCTGATAAAGGTCAGCAGCCCGACGGCGCCAACATTGAACCCGCTGATGCCATTGTACGCGTTGGAGAGGTCCACGGAGGAGATGGCGTTCGATCCGCCCATCGCAAAGAAGGAGGTGAACTGAAGGAGAAGCGATGACCCAGTTATCTCAACCACGTCAAGGTCGAGACTCTCAAGATAGGATTGGAGGATGCTGAACAGGAGGAAGAGCGGGATATTAGTCGCCCGCGATTGGGTCAGTGCGAGCAGTGTATACAGATGGTGGAGAAGACGCAAGGCTGGCCACACAATTAGTCATACCGAACTGGAGGGGATCATATATAAATGCAGGTTAGTCCACCAACCTCTTGAACTTTCCTGACCGCCGTGTGGAGTCAGAAGGTACACTGCGTACAGAGAGAACGCGGCTAGACCAACGAAAACGGTCCTCGCTCGGGACACGAGCGATGGACCCTCCGCCAGGCGCAACAGCTTTTGAATGACGCCAACAACCAGCTCAGGGGCATCCTCGTTGGTGAAGGACAATTTGAAGGACACAGCAGAGGCTACCAGCCCAACAACCAGCGGCAACATGATAGCCCTCGGCCAGCCTCTGATTTGCCGTATAAGCGCAACGCCAACCATGGCATAGGTGCCGAGTATAAGGCCCCAAAGAGACTGGGGATTTGGCGTGAGGAAGATTTTGACAATGTCTGGGCTGCCGGCAAACTTCTGGCCAGTTTGGTTCCAGCCCCTGACAAGACGCATGGAAACTAACACGGCCAAGGTTGTCAGGACAAAAGTTGGCGTCCACCTCAGCGAGCTGTGGCAATGTGAGCAGATGGGTAGCAAACTCAGGATAGTGCCTTACCCTTTGTGAACTAGGTATACTAGCCATGCAGAAGCCGCCCAATACCAGAAGTGCTGTTCTTCCTCCACATAACTACTAGCAAACATCATGATCCCGTACAGCAACGAGATCAGCGCGAATGCGCAAAGCGACGGCACAGGGCCTCGCACGACCATCACAGACGACGCCAATGCCAGCAGGATGGAGATCAAAGCTACTCCGCCGCCCTCCAGCAAGCGAGTTGTGTCATAGGTACTCGCCATGCTACTCATAACGCTCTGTGCCTCTTGGAGCCACTACAATCAAGTCAGCGCACGGTCGCAGGTAGCCGTAGTTGAGGGGTGACGAATGTACCACGGAGACGTTGTTTGTCCAGTCACTATGCTGCTCCGGATCCGTAAACTGGGCTATCTTCACCAAGGTATGCCATCGACAGGCTAGGATCTCGGCTTCGGTTGGAAGTTCAGGGCACTCTACCCCTCCATACGCACCAGGGAGCCGCGAAATCCCGAATGCGGCTGCCATGATGTCGAATATCTGTTTAGAATTATGCGTCAGGATGTGTTGTTGGTCGCGCTCTAGAGATCCCGTCAGCAAGCTTTGTCCGACACGTTTAGAGCGAATAACGCACGTTCAGGCCAGAAAGCTAAGAAGTCCGGAATGAAAGCTCCCAGGTTATTCTTGGGTACGGGGAAGCCCAGTAAAGCACCGAGGGTGGGGGCCAAGTCGGACTGTTCCACTGAGGAGTAGTACTGGAAGTCGTCGACGAAGGGAGCTGGAACTGTCAATGGCTTCGAGATGGACTTCAGCTGAGGCGAGAGGAACACCAAGGCTGGAGAAGTCTCGCCAGCAGATGACGCCCCATGGTTGCCCGCATCATTCATGCCGTGGTCTCCACAGAGCACCAGGAGGGTTGACTGGAGATGCGGTTCGGTCTCGATGGCTTTATAGATCCGGCGCACAATGCCATCCATCTCCCGTTGTTTGAGAGGCATGTTGGAACTTGCGGGTGGTCAGCCGTCACCCCCTTTCGTGTTAGAGGCGAAGGAAGTCGGGCAACGCATACCTTCGTGGCCCCGACTTGTGACCAATGTGATCCAGGCCAAGGTAGTGTAGAATCATGGTGTTCCAGTCGCTCTGGCGCAGTTCGTCGTCTATGTGTCTTGTCACGTTATTGTCGACCTCGGTGAAGTCCTGCCCGTCGCCATCAGCCTCTTGCGCATTCTCCTGCAGGGAGCTTCGCGGGAGCGGGACATACCGAGACGAAGAAACTCGATGTGCCATCCGCTCTATCAAAGGTATCCGGGAAAAGCTTGAGCCAGGTATCATCGCCATACATGATGAGCTTTCCCGTCTGCTTCGCCTTCATCTGTGCAAGCCAGGTATCCTGGGATGCGAGGGTCGACGAGGTGTCGGCCTCGTCGAGGTTCAGGATCACATCGAGGAAAGATGGGACGGAGCCTGTCGTGATGGCCTTTATTCGAGGCATGGTGACGGTCGGCGACGCAGCATGGGCCGTGAAGGGCATGGCGAACCCATCGCGGATCAGTCTACAGGGCTGGGTGAGCAACGACAGCGTCCATGACAACGACAACGACTCGGGCTACGAACCCTTGTGTGAACTCGAAACCAGAGCCCTCGGCAAAGACGAAATCACTGCCAAAGTTTCAGCTGGGGCCAATTGCATATGGATGGGTCAAGTTGATCACCTCCTCAGGGCATCGACAACCATAAAGACGAGGCGATCGAAGGGTGCCGCGGGGGGCGGGCCATGTTGCAGCCCGTCATATTGCGCCAATCCCGGGAGAAACGGCTTGTAGGGGAAGAAACCGGTCGCAAAGATCAGGATGGCAGCGGGGATGAGCAGGTTCGCGATGGACAGGAGAACGGTGGCGGCCGGGACACCATTGTTGCGACGCTGCATTTTCGAGTCTACCATGTTGAGGTGTGGTCTGAAGAGGGCCGGATGCGGTGCGGTGCCATTAACAGCAACTATTCTCCATGTTCCGCACGCGCGAGGGAGGCTCGGAAAGGGAATCGGGACCTCTTGAGCTCAAGGGGAGGGGGAATACGATGCAGTCGTGGGCGCAAGATCTTGCGCAAGACGGCTGCGGATGCGATGAGCAGGTCTATAGCAAAGGAGGCGCTGGAGGGTACCACCAAGGTGTCCAGAAAGATTTCGTCACAGCCCAGCTGACTGACCCGCGACGCGGATAGGGAGCCCTGTCAACGCGACTGGGGGGCCGCAGCCAGGGCCTCAACTCCTGCTACCTAACTTGGCAAGCTTGGGTAGGCTTTACCATGGTAAGTTAGCTCCGCCCTGGGATGGGTCAACGGGTCGCTGCTAGCTAGCATCGGATCCATCCATGGATGTGACGCGATGCAGGTAGCAGATGGGGTCCAGCATGCTACTGTGTACTCTAAATTTAGGCGACCGGTGACCAGGTACGTACCGTTCGGGAAGATGACATCGAAGCAGCTCGGAAAGAAGCTTCTTCTACATCAAGGCTGCCCCGCAGCAACTTCGTGTAGAACCATCTAGTAGATCCATTCGCATTCACCGGCCTGCGTTCAAGCCAACTTTGAACCAAGAAGAACAACTACTCTTCAATCTCCTACTGTCATTGGTACCGCGATTCCGGCCCCGTGGGTAAAATAAGAATAAATAAGAATAAATCGCCTGTCCACAACCAGTTTGGTCCGAGAATGCCGGAGGGTCAGGGCCCTACCAATCCCTTCGTGCGGTTCAAGGACCAGGTCGACAACCAAGTCTCGCAGGCCTGGCAGGGTATTCAATCTCTGCCATTCGAGTCTGCCGAATCCGACCGGAGTGTGAAGATGGCCGAGCCAGGTGTCAGGTCTACTACTGCCGTCACTGCTGACAGCAACGACATCGATACTCCATCCCAGCGGGACATTTCTGTTGGGGGAGGTGCAGTTGAACATGTTGCCGAGAGGTTACGCCGGCAAACAGTCCACTCCTGGCTGAAGTATTCGCCTTATTCACCTCTGCATCTGGATGGGCTGAGGCAGCCCGTCCCCAATGACGCACCCGGTCACTACGACCAGCCCTTCACCTTCCGGGATGCTTTCGAGGACCTCCTGACCACCTCCTCTGGCCGGCCCCCGCAGGATGTTGAGCAGATGTGGCTTGCCGCGAGGAGTAGGCATGCTCCCCTCCTGTCGTGGGCCGACTTTTCTCTCTTCGCCGCAGGCTCCGGCGACTGGGAGTGGGCGTCCTCCCTTGAGCGTCGCCGGTTATGGGACTCCTATTTTCCTCGCCCGGCTTTCCGCGACGGCGCGAGGGAGATCTTACATAAGGTTTCGGCGCTGCGTTATCCCAGCAGGGCCGACGCAGAGCGCCACACGAGCATGCTCATCAAACAAGCTGCTGGAAGTGAGGCGGAAGCCGGATATCAGTCGACCATCTATCGTTTGGGCCTGTTTGACGCCCAGCCCGGCGCCGTACGCCGTGAGCTAAGAACACTCAACAACCCATGGAGGACAGAGACGGCCGAGCGTGGAGAGGATCGGTTTACACAAGGTGTGCAAGTAGATGGAAGAGATCGCCGGTCTGCCGAGGAAATCAAACCCGAGGGGCGGCCTGCCAATCAAGATGGCCACGAACCCAACTCATTTGAGGATCTCTGTCAGGCGCTCAAGTCCCGGTATGCTCAGGCCACGGCCAGTGTGTGGCCTTCGTGGGATGCCATATTCAACAACTTTCACGACAAGTGGCCTGAGCCCAAGTCTGGGCCTGCTCCGGACTCGACGACAAATTCCGAAACCTCAGTCGCACCAGACGGAAGCCAGGTGATAACAACGACAGAGTGGCAAACTCTTCGTGGGGGAACCCAGAAGAAAGTCATTACGGAGAGGCGCGACCCCAGTGGCAACATTACGCAACAATCAACAGTAACGCAATTCATTTCCGGCAGCATGCGTGATCAGACTGGACAAGAAAGGCATGATCATGCAAACGAAACAAACTCGGATGGGAACTCAGGCGGGTGGTTCTGGACGAAGAGGGGATGAAAGTGACGGTGTTTGTGTACGAGATGAATGACAGATCTGCCATGACAAAATCTGGGTTTATTTTTCGATGGCGTTGGCAACTACTCTCGGCCCAACGAAGCTTTGTATTATTAAAGGTGGCTGTAGCCTTTTAGTTTGCACATGCCGCAATAGGCAACTCCCCTCATGCCTTGCCACGAGCATTGGCCTTCTTTTTCCTCATGACCCTCTTCCTCCCAATGATCTTCTGCTCGAGGGTATCGCGGATGGCGTTCTTCCTCTTGGAATCCTTCCCGTCCGCTTCTGGCACGGCCTTGTCGGGCCCTTGGCCAGCCCCCTGGCCTCTCGAGCCAAAGGCCCCCTTTCCAGGACCGCCCGGCTTCCTGCCGTCACGGCCACCGTGGGAGCGAGCCCCATCGGCCCTCCATTGAGGCCTGCCCTGGCCTTGTGCGTTCGTGTCCGACGATGCATTGTGCTGAAATTTTGTCTGCCTATCGTTGCGTCTTGCCACGACCTGGGCATTCTCAATGGCAAACTCGACAATGAGGCGGTGAGACTTGCCAGCAGCGTTCTTCACTGCGTGGCCGTTCAGCCAGCGAAGGGCCATTAGAGCGGGTCGATGAGAGTAGTACTCGATGAACCCGTATCCACGACTCCGGCCGGCGCCGTCGCCCTCAGTCACCTTGGAGCCCTCCCTGTTCTCGAAGACAATCTTGACCTGCTTGACCACGCCTCTGCCCTTTTCCTTCCGCTTGTGCTCAGCTTCCCGATCCTCCTCGCCACCCCGGACGATCTCCTCCTTGGAAAGGGGTTGGCGCCGACCTCCCTTGACGTCGGTGGCGAAGCCGACGACGGCCTCACGTGCGAGGGCTTTGAGCGCCTTGGAGTCCAGGTCCCTGGGAATGTTCCGGACAGCCAGTCGGGTGAGACTGAGATGTAGGCTGGGGTTGCTCTGGATCTGCCTCTTCCTCTGGGCGGCGCTGTCTTCCCGAATCTTGATCTCAGAGGGAGACAAGAGGGCGTACAAGGGCGAGTCATTCGAGATGGTGCCCTCGGCCAGGAGGTACAGCCGCCTCTTGTCCTTGTCCTTGCCACCACGGGCCGTAATGCCTTCCTCGGTCAGCTTGGTTGCTTCGTCTTTGCTTACGGCCTGTGAGACCTGGAGTACGCGGCCGTCGAGTGTGTACAAGCCGGCCTGGTCTGCGGACTCGTCCTGCAGGATGGAACGCTTGCCGAAGGCATCTGCGGGGCGCGGCCGAGGGGCTCCCCTCAAGCACTTCTTGGCGTCGTCGAGGCTGGCAAAGTTCACAAAGCCAGTGCCGGCGGGGCGGTCGGTCGCACGGTCCATGACGACGCGGGCGTAGCGAACGGGGCCGAAGGACTCGAAGTGGGCCCTGAGCTCCGGGTCGGTGGTGGAGAAGGGCAAATTCCGGATGAAGATGGTGGACGAGTTGTCCGTCACGAGAGGCTTGGGGGCGGGATCCGAGTCTCCCTCGTCGTTGCTCGCATCGCCATCACTGTCTGATGCATCGTCACCCTCCGGATCAAGCTCGTTGTCCTCCGCTGCACTATCCTCCTCGTCCTCCAGCTTGTCTCCAAAGTTCTTCATGAAGTTGCGCAGGTCTTCGTCCTCTTCCTCGTCCTCGTCCTCGTCCTCGTTCTCGTCCTTTTCCTTGTCGTCGCCCTCGCCGTCCTCGGTTTCCTTGCTGCCATCGTTTTCGTTTGCCGCCTTGGTCTTCTTGGCCTTCTTGTCCGATTTGGACACGGCTTTATCCTGTGCCTGTTCCTTCTGCTGCTGGGTGGTCCACTCGGACTTGCTGACGGCCCAATCGACGGCCAGAGGCCGGCCATCGACGACCTTGCCGTTGACAGCCTCGATGGCGCGCTCAGCGCCCTTGCGCTTCATGGTGACGAAGCCAAAGCCGGAGAGCTTGCCCTTGTCCTGGGGCAGGTCGCAGTAGATGATCTTTCCGTAGGCACGGAAGAGGGCGGCCAGCTGGTCGGGCTTCTTGATGCTCCAGGGCAGGTTGCGGACAATCAGCTTGGGGGGTTTCCTGGCCTCCCTCTCGGCGGCGTGCCTCTGGTCCTTCTGGGAGGTGTCGGCGCCGGGCTTGCGGTCGCGGGACTTGGCGACGTCGATGTTGATGGGGCGGCCGTCGAACTTCTGGCCGTTCAGCCTCTCGCGGGCGTCGACGGCGTCCTGGGCGTCGGTGAAGACGACGAAGCCATAGCCGCGGGACTGCTTGGTGGCCGGGTCCGTGACGACGAGGGCATTCTTGACGGGGAAGTGTTGGGAGAAGAAGTCGGCCAAGGACTCGTCGGTGGCGGAGGGCGGGAGCGAGCGCACGAACAGAGACTTACCAGCCTCGACGCGGGCTCGCTTGGAGGAGGGCTGCTTGGCTTCCGTGTCGTCTGCTTGGGCGGACGCGGGCGTGGGCGGCTGGTCTGGCTTCTTCAGCTCGGCGTCGTCGCCGTCGTCGCGGCGGCGCTTGGTCGGTCCGGCCATGATGCGAGCGTTCGCTTCTCTGGTGCGAGTAAAATCTCGGCTGCCAGGTCACCAACGGTCCAGTGCGGCGAAGGGGGCAGTGCGTGAATCTGGCTGCCTCGTAGCTATAGATTGCTACAGTATATGCTATGCCTTGATTCTATTCAGTCGACGGTCCCACCTGCCGCATGGAATTAAAGCAGAAAAAAAAAAAGTTGGAAACGGCTTTGGCTTATCGCTGCGATAAGCCGGAATCCACTTGTGCATGGGCTGCACAAAGTTCTTACCTTGCCTGGTGAGGATGAGTTGGGTACCCCAAGGCAGCTAGCTCTCGCCTTAGCGCGGGGTAGTGTCCCCATAGTAATGATGTGTACATGGTAAACTTGGCGACATGCAATACTCGGGGCACCAGGCAGCCCCCCCTGCCCGCCCCCGAACTCGAAACACCAAGTACTCAGTGCCGCCCAGGCTGGCAGGGTCAACAGATGGCAGGTACCTCCATATGATGCCCGGGAGCGCGGCCGCTGCCAGCTGGCCGGGGACGCTTCGCTTTTGTTTTTGTTGCTCCGGTGGCCCCCTTGTGTCCCCCTTGTGCCCCCCCCTTCCCCCCCGCGGCTGCTCCGTCCAATGTTGACTTTGACAGCCGTGGCACAAACAAATCCGACCACTCAGAGGCGTCACGCGGACCGCGTCTTGTTATCCATAGCAGAGTGCCGGTGGGCAACCAACCAGCCAGGGCAGCCCAGCGCCTTTTGGTCGGGCGGGACATTTGGGACTGGGTATCGGGTGCGCAGAAGGAACAACAATTACGACAAAACATCTGCATTCGGCGCCACGAACCAGTGGACTCGGCTGCCAGCTTGACTCTCCTCGACACTCGCTTCCTTTTTCTCCTTCGTATTTTCGTCCTTGGTGTCAATCAAGCAGCCGTCACTCGGTCCGCTCTCTGCTCTGTATCGCACCGTACCGCACCGCACCGCACCGGCATCGACGAACGACCGGCGCAGGACCCCGGGCGGCGGCGCATCTCTCTCCGCCTCCACCACCGACAACCTTACGCACAACAACAACAACAATAACGACGACGACAGTCCCGCCACACAATGCCCGCCAGAGCCTCGACGAGGGCGACGCGCAACTCAAGCGCTGCCGTCTCGCACAAGTCGTCGGCCGCCACCCTCAAGTCCCGCGCCTCCACCACCTCGCGCGTCTCCTCGGCCGCCGTCGACATCCCCGACGAGACGCCCGAGAGCACCTTGCGCACCCGCATCTGCGCCATCTTCAAGGATGCCCAGAAGACCACCGCCTCCCACCGCAAGCTCGTCGTCAACCTGCGCAAGCTGCACGAGGCATGCTGCTACGAGCCCGCCGCCCGCCACAAGGCCCCCAGCGCCAGCGATGCCGACGCCGACTTTGACGAGGCCGACTTCAACCCAGAGTTCACCCGCTGCGTCCTGCGTGCCATGCCCGTCAAGAAGAGCGAGGCCGTCGGCGAGAAGACTGTCCGCTTCGTCGGCCTGTTCCTGCGCCACGCCAGCGACAAGGACAACGAGCTGCTGGGCGAGGAGGACGCCGACGCTAGCACCATGCCCGAGACCCCCAGCACCCGTCTCATCACCCACCTTATGGAGGCCGTCCTGCCCCTCCTGGCCGCCAAGGACAAGTACGTGAGGTACCGTGCCACCCAGCTCATCTCCCACATCATCAACTCCCTCGACGCCATCGACGACGACCTGTTCCAGAAGCTGCGCCAGGGCCTGCTCAGGCGCATCCGCGACAAGGAGGCCATGGTCCGCGCCCAGGCCGTCCTCGGGCTCGGCCGCCTGGCCGGCAACCAGGTCGAGGCCATGGCCAACTCGGACGACAGCGACGATGAGGCCGAGACCGGCCTGCTCGAGAAGCTCCTCGAGGTCCTGCAGAACGACCCCAGCGCCGACGTCCGCCGCTCCCTGCTGGTCAACCTGCCCATCCTCCCCACCACCCTCCCCTACCTCCTCGAGCGGGCCCGCGACCAGGACGCCCAGACCCGCCGCGCCGTCTACGCCAGGCTCCTCCCGGCCCTGGGCGACTTCCGCCACCTGTCCCTCTCCATGCGCGAGAAGCTGCTCCGCTGGGGCCTGAGGGACCGAGACGACAACGTGCGCAAGGCCGCCGGCCGCCTCTTCCGGGAGCGCTGGATCGAGGACTGTGCCGGCGTCAACCCCGCTCCCGAGGACGGGAAGCCCGCCGAGCCCGCCGAGCCCAGCTTCGACGGGCTCCTCGAGCTCCTCGAGCGCATCGACGTCGTCAACTCGGGCGTCGAGAACGGCGTCGCCCTCGAGGCCATGAAAGGTTTCTGGGAGGGCCGCCCCGACTACCGGGAGGCCGTCGCTTTCGACGACCAGTTCTGGGAGACCCTCAGCGCCGAGTCCGTCTTCATGGCCAGGAGCTTCAACGACTTTTGCCGCGCCGAGGGGAACCGGAAGTACGAGTCCCTCGTCGAGGAAAAGCTCCCCGAGGTCACCAAGCTGGCCTTCTTCCTCGACCGGTACCTCAACGTGCTTGTCGAGGCGCTTCGCAGGGTGAACAGCCAAGAGGTCGCCGAGGACGAGGACGAGGAGGACACGGTGGAGCAGGAGTTCATCGTCGAGCAGCTCCTGCACATTATCCTGACGCTAGACTACTCCGACGAGGTCGGCCGCAGGAAGATGTTTTCTCTTCTTAGGCAGACCTTGTCCATCCCGGAACTTCCCGACGAGGTCACCAAGCTTACCGTCGACGTGCTCCGCGATATCTGCGCCCCGGACGCCGCCGGGGAGAAGGAGTTCTGCAGCGTCGTGCTCGAGGCCGTGGCCGACGTGCACGACACCATAGTGGACGAACCCGCCCCGGACAACGACGACGACAGTTTCCACTCCGCCCGTTCAGACGTCAGCAGTGACGGTACCCCGACCAAGAGCGACAAGCGCGCAAAGGGCCCAGAGCTCAGCGAGGAAGAGGCGAGAGCAAAAGCCATCAAGGAGATCATGATCAATATGAAGTGTCTACACATTGTGCAATGTATGCTGTCAAACGTCGAGGGGACCTTGCAGGAGAACGACCATCTCGTCGCCATGCTGAACAATCTGGTCGTGCCCGCCGTCCGCAGCCACGAGGCCCCGGTCCGGGAACGCGGCCTCGTCTGTCTGGGACTGTGCGCACTCCTTGATAGGCCACTGGCAGAGGAGAACCTGACGCTGTTTATGCACTTCTTCACCAAGGGCCACGCAGCGTTGCAGATTACCGCCCTGCAGATCCTGACGGACATCCTCAACGTCCATGGCTCGCAGCTGCTCACTGCCAACCCTACACTCCTCAAGGTCTACGTCAAAGCGTTGCGCTCCGGCTCCAAGAATCCGGAGGTGCAAGGCGCGGCGACAGTCGCTGTCTCGAAGCTTCTACTGGGAAGAGTAGTCACGGATCATGACACCTCGGCCGAGCTCCTCAAGACTTTGGTCGTGGCCTATTTCGACCCTGCCACGGCTGGAAACCAGAGCGTGCGCCAAGCACTCAACTACTTCCTCCCCGTCTTCTGTTACTCGAGAGCGGAGAACCAGGACCTGATGCGCTGTGTTGCCCTCGACGCCCTACACGCGCTCTACAACGTAAGGGAGGGACTGGAAGACGACGATGCCGACGTCGATGAGGAAATGGCAAGTCTCAACAGCATCGGTGCTTGTCTGGTTGATTGGACGGATCCCCGGAAATGCTACCAACCCGGTGTGCCCATGGACGCCGAGAAGAAGAATGTCAATGGAGATGTGCACCTCGAGCTCGCGGCAGATATCTTGGACAAGTTGAATGGGAACACGGGTAGTAAGTGTCCCCGACGCCAGGCGCCACGTAACTATGAGCTGACAATTTTTTTTTTTTTTTTTTTTTTTGCACAGAGGAGGAGAAGAAGGTCATCGCACTCCTACTTGGAAAGCTCTACGTGTCCCCGGCTTCGTCGGAAGACAAGATACGGGGTCTATATGAGGGCGTTTCCCTGGCTGTGGAAGAGAATCTGCTCTCGGATGCCACAAGCCGGAACGCCCTCTACAAGATCCACGTGAGCCTTGGCAAGATCGTGAACCAACTGACGGAGCAGGAGAAGGGGACTAGGCGAAGCATTAGCCGCAGCGTCAGCGTGTCCGTCGCCGGTGATGACCGGACCGTCACAGAAGATAGCATCCTGACCCAGGAGCCCATTAAAGAAGAAGAGGACTCGGGCGACGACGGTCCCAGTAATGACACTATACGGCAGACAGAGGGGGAGTCTATTGTAGAGGAGCTGCTGACGGACGGGGAGTGACGGGCAGCATAACGTCGTCTTGTTTGTCTTTGTTAATGATTCCCCCCTTTTGTTTATTCATCCAACAGCAACGTGTCGTTATCGTTTGAACAATTCTGACACCGTGAAAAGGACACGCACCTGAGCATACCGCGCGTTTGTCCTGGTCTTGGTTGCCATGATCGATGCCGCTGAGTCCATCTGTACAGCATGGTTCCCATACGGATACCACTTAAGCTGACACAAGCCACAGTCCTGTGGTAATCGTGATATGTAGACTGTCAGGGGCAACATTGTGCGGTGCCTAGGAAGGGCCACCGATGGCTGTCCCAACTTCCGGCGGGGTATCTAGAAGTCTTAGCCCAAGGGGCGAGATCTAGTGTCTTGTTGGACAAGGTTGTTTTCCGTAGCACACGGAAAACCCTCAACCGCAGCGGGGGCAGCAGTCCTTGCGAGAAGCTGGTCTTTAGAGCAATCAGCCACGGCCTCACCAACGCCCTTGAACCTTGGATATACTCGAAGAAACTGATGCGAATCTCGACCAATGACTAGTACTAGCTGTAAACGCCTCTCTTGGCCCAACCAGTCCGAACTCCATATAATATACTTCAGAACAGACTAGGCTATATACATGACTAGATGCCCATCCAGAGCAGGCCATCTACATGGGGGAGTATAACTTGGCTACAATTAAACTTCCCGTCCAACTGCGCCAAGTTAGCGGCTCGTCTGAAGAAGGCCTGTATACTCCTCCGCTACCAATGGTGAAACATAACTTAGTAGAGAATGGGGCGGCGGGTAGGTACAGAATCGAACGATCCGTACCCCACAACGGCGCGAAAGTCTATCTGGCGCTGCAGATGCGGACATATCTTCGGGTCTTGGCCGTCGATGCCAATTTTGCGAATCGGCCTCCTGCTGCGTTGGGCTTAGCACACACAAGCTTGCGCGAGACGGGACAGCCGCGACAGCTTGACTTGGAGAGCAGCTGCTTTGGCCTAGCATGATCTCATTAGTCTCGGGGATATATGTTGGCCAGCGTCGCGTTTCAGACGGCAATCCCACAGAGGCGAGTTTCCCGATGTGGAAAGCTCAGGCCTTGATGTGAGGCTCAAGGGCCAGGGGCTCAACCGCCCTCTGGGGGGTGGCCCACGGCTTGGCATTTCTTAGCACCCGACCTGGTGGCTCTTATTGGCCTTGCATATCCGCCGCCTGGGGGGGCACTCATCAAATCTCACTGGCGATCTTAAGCCGTCCCCGGCTGCAACTACCGCTGGCGAGGTCGGACCGTATGCGTTGCCTGCTTCATCCATGCCTGACTTGGCCGGGACCACATGCGGAACTCTGAACGTGGCCGCTGGTTGGCCCTTTTCCCAAACAAATGCCATTGATTGCAGTACCCCGAGCCTACCAAATCAGACAAGCTCCCGGATCCATGCCCTCTCGGGCATCACGTCTTTCCCTGGTAGGCTCCTATGCGTGCCAGCATTGGCGGCCCATGGCTCGAGGCTGTTTACACGTCGGGTTGGCTGGACCGGGAGGCCATGATCGACGGTCGTCATTCAAACAAGCTTGGTCTTCCTTCTTGCCTGCCATATCGGCATGTGCTTCTCCACCGGTAGCCGGCGAGGTAGAATGGAGCAGCGCGGAGCGGTGATTGGCCCAGCGTCTTTGGCGCACTTGTACCTGTTGATGATCGTCACGACAAGGTCCACTTCCAACAAGTCTTTCCCACAGGGGCTGGAAGAGATAAATATGGCCGCATCGTCGTCACTCTTCTGATGTATGTAGTCGTTCGCTCAGTAGGCATCGACTCTTGCACACACTCCTTGAAAGGGATACATCGTTACGAAGCTCAACTCACTCCAGTCCATCATTGCACCCTCATTCTTCAGTATAACCACTCTTTTTTTTTTCCTTTTGGCATCCAAGTCAAACCTTTCGTAACTCGTCGTTCCATCCAAGATGCGTACCGCCGCCGTCCTATCTGTGCTGCCTCTGGCACTTGCTGCTCCCTCGAAGAGAGCCCAGCCGGCGCCTCTCCTCAAACCCCGAGGTGGCCAACTTGTTGATGGGAAATACATCATCAAGTTGAAGCATGATGCCCAGGACGGAGCTCTTGGCATGGCCATGAAAACCCTTTCAAGCGATGCCGACCATGTATACAACTCTGGAAAATTCACCGGCTTTGCCTCCAGCCTCACAGCCGAGGAATTGGATGCCCTGCGAAACGACGACTCTGTACGTCCTTTGCACACTTATCCGCGTCTTGTCGTGACCTGCTCGTCTAACTTAAAACACAGATTGACTATATCGAGCAAGACGCCATCATCACCATCAAGGCCACACAGAGAAACGCAGACTGGGGCCTGGCTCGCCTGTCCAATGCCAAGTCTGGCAGCACCACGTATACGTACGATGACTCGGCAGGGGAAGGCACCTGTGCCTACATTGTCGATACGGGTATTGACACGACGCACCCGGTATGCTCTCGGAATCTTCGTCCTGTTGCAACCCCGATTAGCTTTCTGACCCGGGAGACAGGAATTCGAAGGGCGAGCTGAATTCTTGGCCAACTATGCTGACAACGACGACACTGACGGGCAAGGACACGGCACGCGTAAGTGAGCTCCTAACCCCGTGGAACGGTGCAACCCGTCCGAAACCTACATCCACTACGAGTATATCTCGGTTCTCAAATACCACCCTTTGGCTATTAACCCATCACAACAACCGCTGACGGCAAATCTGTAGATGTTGCCGGAACCGTAGGCTCGGTCACTTATGGTGTTGCCAAGAAGACCAAGCTGTTCGCTGTCAAGGTCCTTGACTCTAGCGGCGAAGGAACAAAGTACGTCGGATGACTCAAACACTGCGTGGAAGCTGTCTAACACTTGGCGCTCAGCTCCCAGGTGCTGTCCGGAATGGACTTCGTCGTTGATGACGCCCAGGGACGCGAAGACTGCCCCAATGGCATCGTCGTCAACATGTCCCTCGGTGGTCAGGTTTCCTCTGCCATCAACCAGGCGGCCGCCGCAATTGTCGAGGCTGGCCTTTTCCTTGCCGTCGCAGCGGGCAACGAGGCGGCTGATGCCTCCACTTCTTCGCCAGCTTCGGAGGAGTCGGTCTGCACCGTCGGAGCCACCGACATCGACGATCAGCTCGCCGAGTACTCCAACTTTGGCAAACTCGTTGACATCCTCGCACCTGGTACCGATATCGAGAGCACATGGCTCGATGGTAAAACGGTAAGTTACAAACCATTGGAGTTACTGTTTGTCTAGTTCATGCTAACGGGGCTATCAGAACACGATCTCCGGCACTTCGATGGCCAGCCCTCATATTGCCGGCCTTGCTGCCTATCTGCTCGGCCTGGGAACCGCACCAAAGGATCCCCAGGAGCTTTGCAGCTACATCGCACAGAGCGCCCTCTCCGATGTTGTCTCGGGTGTCCCAAGTAGCACTGTGAACTTGCTTGCAAACAACGGCGAGTCTGCCAACAGCACTGGGGCCAGGCACATCAAGAGGCGGTCGGCCCCTGCCGCTATCCCGGCCTTCGGTCGTTTGGCAAGGCGACACTAAGCATCTGACTCATGGTGGTGACAAGGCCAGGTTGCCTGGTCCGAGGCTGTAAGTTGGATATACGTGGGCGAGCAGAACGGCGGCTCCGTCAGCCCCGGCCCTAAGTCGGCTGGGTCTCACCTGGCTGTATGGTCAGTCCCGTACTATTGTATAGCATAAACTCCGGTGTCTCGTCGGATAATAAAGAACATACCCTTCATTGTGGCACTGCCATTGCACTTGCGGCGAGGCGTCTTGGTCGGCACACATGAACTCCTGGAATCATCATTGGGGGCGAAATAAAGAGCAGTGAAAGTAACAGGCGTGGTGATATTTCAGTAAAAATAAAGCCGCAAAACTAGTCCCCTATGCTTGGATCCAACAGCTAGCTGGCACAGTAATAGCCACTCGGGCGTTCTCACCGATCTTTGGTTGGAGTATATGTAGAGTAGCGTGAGTGTTCGATCTCGACCCCGATGGGGTCCCAGGACTTGCCGGTTGCAACCTAATAGTCTTCGAGCTTGTATACCTCGTAGGCAGGTTCCTCGTAGGGATGTGCGCTAAATTCAGTCAGCTTGAGCGACATTGACATGTACTGCAGCGCGCACCTCTTCAACGCCTCGACAGCTTTCTTCACCACGTCCTCGCCCATACACAGTGTCTCTACCCGAACCTCCTCTACCTGTTCGACCTCACCGACCTTGCCCAAATGTGGCTTGGCTGTGTCGCCGGGGCGGAATTGCCCAGTCCCCAAGCTAGTCCAACAGCATTCGGTATAATTCCCTGGGCCAGGGTACCGACCTGTGTAGTAATCTTGCATCAGTCTCCGTCCTCGACCGTCAGAGCTGGCGTAAAGTACCCATGGTGTGTCTGACACACGGGAGTCGGGGTAATAAGACCCGTGCAGATTACGTGGAAGGGCTGCATGTCAGAACTTTGTACCTACCTGCACCCGCAGCGAAAATCGCGTCCTTGCACTGCGAGAGGGAAGAAGGGGGGACAAAGAACACGAGTTTGAAACGTTTCATAGCTGAAGCCATCGTATTCATCTTAACAAGCCTAGTCATGAGGGCCGAGAAGGGGAAGGAGGCCGAGGACCTGTTTACATGCAAGGGTTTGGGAGACGAAGCAAGCCAAACTTGGTGTAACTGGCCAAGAAGCGGGGCTGATGAGTATCACTAGCCAACAGCTTAGGGTCGAACACGACATCGACTGCCGCAATGGCTGTGCAGGGGACGGGTTTTAAAGCCGCAGAAGAGGGTGGGAAAAGCCTACGCGACCCATTATGATCAAATGTTCAACAACCACGTGTCCATGTTTTCAATGGGATAATTATACCAAGGTGGTGTCACCTTCCGAGTTGACGAGGCTCAGCCGAAGCTGGAAGTTTTATGAGCACCTTCAACTTTTGTATAGGTTTCCTCGGTCAAGGTACAAGAGAAGCACATAAGTCTCGTCGATGCTAATTATCTGGGGCATTGTTCTCTGATTGCGGGTTGTTTTTTCGTACACGGAACTCCAAAGCCCCCTGATCGACTATATCTCTTCGGCTCCTCGCTGCCTCGCTGAGCAGCTACCCGGGAGTCAAGGCTGAGAGTTGTATTATGAAACCCGATACGTCTGCGCACGTTACATATGGAGCAGCTGCGACCCCTCGGGCTGCTCTTGTTGAGTAATGGAGATTAGGTAGTTTACGAGGTCCTAATTAATGTCGAGTGTCAACGTTTGGTCAAGGCCGAAGAAGAATCAGAACCTATGGATGTGATGGGTTATTAGGGCACCCAGATTGCTACTGAGGTATGGCACAGAAGAGCATTGCACACTATGTGATGGCTTAGTTGGGGCTATGGAGATTCCGTGGAAAACGGAGCTTGCTGCAGCCACCAGCCAGGACCTCAATGTACTCACTCCATCAACCATTTTGCTGTAAAGACACGTCCTCCTCACTGATCACATTGTTTCCATAGATCATGCCCGTTGCGTGGCCTACACACGGCGGACAGCAGCAATATAGTCCTACTTACTCGCACATCGTCACAGCAGCAGCAACGGCGGCCACTCTATGAATCCGTATCTTCTACAAGATCCGGCTGATTCTGTTATTTGTTCCTGTGATGGTGTGCACGGGAGGAGAGGGTGTTTAGTAGCCTGCTCGCTTTGGTGGGAAGCGGCCGCACAAATCGTGCCCAGATAACAGGATTCGGTATAGTGCTTAACGTGAGGAGATGTGGCAACATGGTATTAGTCAGAGATTGAATGATAGGGAGGGAGCACTGAAATATGGCCAACGATTTGCTTCGAGCCACAACGTACCCTCCCCCTCTTAGATTGGTGCATCGTTTGCAATGTCACAAAGCTTGGAGCTGAGAGTTGCATGGATCTTAGATCTTGCCGATTCGCAACAGGAACTTTTCTGCCGACGGCAGCTGGTGACCAGTCACAGAAGGCAAAGAGAACGTGGGTAATGAAACCTTGCCACGGTGGTCCCAAAGACGGGAAGGTAGTGTGTCTGCTCAGTGATGCGGGAAACTTCAGCGGAATGCAACTTCTCAGTATCAACGGCTTCGTCTTCTCATGGGTTCCAGTCTTTGCCAGATACTGTCTAAGACTAACCATTTAAGTCGTGGCGATATTCCTTTCGGCCATGCCAATACGACGAACATGCAAACGACCGGCTTTGATACTTGGGGAATCGTCGTCTACCCATGTACCTACCAAGATGTGACAGTCTGTGAACGAACTCTAGCAGATCTGAAGCACGCGGTTGGTGAAAGGCTTTCTTTACGTGGCCGTCCAGCAGTAACATCTATATTGACTGGACTGCATTCTCCGAGAGCACAGCAGGGAGACAGAGTCAGTGGGGTGGCATTTTAAAGGGGGGTCTTAGGCAGCTGTTCATAGAACGACATATATTGAGCTCGCAGTGTCGACGGGGACAATCTCGGTGCAGATCATGCCGTCACTGGGTGCCTGCCTTAATTCAAATTTTGCATATTGCTTGACCCCATCTGTCTGGGATCGAATCGCTGGCGGCCGTAGTCAACTAGGCATCCCTCAGATCGCACCCGACAGCACAACATATATAGTCTTGGAGGCCAGCATGCAAGAGTATACTATTTGGATCGACGCGGATGTCGGGTCTTTCCTGGCGCTGAATGAGAAATTTCGCAGCCCGTGAGCAAGGCAGGGGTCAAACGACATAGATATGCGCGTCTGGGGTGATTATTATACAAGGGACAAAAACATATAATGTTTCAAAGTCTAGTAACGTGGTTCGTGACGTTTGGGACACGCGATACTCTCCCATGAGGCACTGTGTGTTCACGTGCCAGCATTGTTGATCTCGCCGTCTGTTATGACCAAGATCAACTAAATCGCGTGGCTATGATTGCTAGCCAGCCTGACAGCCGTGTCTGAACGATTGATATCGGTATTGCTGGCCTGTCTGGGTGAGACCGAAGTACGGACACGCATAATTTCCGCATTGGACTCACAAGTGACCGCTACATGTTCAACACAGGTGCTCTAGCGTACCCTTGAGGCAGCCGTAGAGGCCCTTGGAAATGGGTTATTGGTCGTTTTCAGGCTTGGAGAAGCCGTGGTAGCATTACTAGGTAGTCCGTACGGGCTAGGCGTTGTGAACAAGTTATTGTACAAATCCGTGACCCCAGGTAATAGATGGGGATTGTGGTATGTACGCTCATTGGACCAACGCAGCTACGATCGGAACCCTCGCGAGATTAAAGCATGTGATAATGTGGCTCCCAGCGATGTTGCTGTAAGTAACCTAATAAATAGTATCATACCCACTGTAGGTTTCTCAGGATCTGCTAGATGGCAAAGGCTATCGAGTTCTGGTTGCTCACGGCTCCAATAGCATCATGTATATCTACGTCTCGTGAGGGATCTACAAGTTTCGGTAGCTTGTCTATATCTCAACAATGTCGTTATGGCATGTCTCATTACGTACGTGTTGCGATAATTGTGGACACCCGCCGTCTTCGCCACCGTCGTCAGGTTGAGTGTTCAATGGGAAAATGGAAGCCGCATGTTTTGTTACATAGTGTAGACACGGCTCCAGGTCCATAGCTGCCGCCAGGGCATCTGAAATTATCACCCATAGCTATCGACTCTCGTGCAATACTCGGGCGTTTTAGTTGTTTTGGCGCAAAGACCTCTCGATACATGGAGAATTGTACAGGTAACCGTGCGGGATTACTTCTAAGATGCCATGATTTCCAATGAAGTGCCGAAATTGGTCCTAAGTTGTCTGAGCATTATGCAGCTTGACCACGTCGCGGAGGCCATTTTATGATGTTGCTTGACTCCCGGGTTCTGTCCATCCTTAGAGAAATATGCTCGAGATACTCCTGAGTTCTCCAGGATAACTTCTTTAGCCCCGACGATATTGCGACATTGCTGACTACGGATTTGACGGTAACGCGTAGAGTGCCGCACAAGACTACCGCGCGATTGCAGGTGGTACCCAGTAGTCCCTGATCGTGAGGGAAAGCCCGAAGACACAAACAAACATGATACAAATATCCAAATGCCATCCCTCATGATCCTGAAGTGTTCCGGGGTTGCAGAAATACATCGACGGGGCCAAAATTGTGAGCTACGTGACTCACAGCGGCCGGACCGCGGGTAGCCTAAGCAGCAGTTTTACGAGAGGTCACACATTTAACGGCGACCCTGCTAGCTGTCGGCTCCGGCCCGTATGGTTGCAACTTCACAATTTCCGAATCTACCTTGCGCGAAGCCGGGTCACAAAGTCAGGGAATGATCTCGTCCGGGAGCGTGTAAATCTAGGCTGGTATCTTATTCATTCTAAGATATTACAGTATGTTGCTCCATCGTGGAAGTACTCTTAAAGGTTAAACAGTCTTAAATGCAAATACATTTCGAATTAGTGAACTAAAGTCGAAGGATGATAAAAAGAAGATTGTGGCGAACAAGGCTGTGAAATAAATAATGATTTTGAAATATAAATTTAATTTATTTATTACGTAAATTATAAAGTATTACGTATAAATAAAAGAAAAAATAAGTTAATAAGTTTATTTTATTTATTTACGATATAAATTAACTTTTTTACGTAAGTTTAAAAAGTTTAAAATTTATTTTATATATATTATTATTTTAACTTTTAATATTTATATATTAATATTATTATTTATAAATTAATTAATTTAATTAAATTTTAATATAAACCTTTAATAAATTAAATATAAATTATAAATATTAATTTATATTTAAATAAATTAATTTATTTAAAAAGAAAATAATTAAAATAAATTTATAACGAATATACTTTTTAAAATAAACCGTAAAAAAATATAAATACGTAGGTTTATATTAATAAGGGACGTTAATTTTAAAGGCGGTTATAATTTATAATTTATATATTAAATAAAATATAATAAAAGGGTTTATAAACGAGGTTATAAATATAATTATTAAAGTTTAATAAACTTTATTTATAAATAAAATAAATATTTAAATTAATTATTAAAATAATAATCATTTATATAATTAAAAAATCCTTTTTATTATATATTTATTTATTTCTTTATTAATATTAATTAGATTATTATAATTATAATAATCCTTTATTTTAAATTATTCCGATTTAAAAGTGATCCTTTATTTTAAATTATTCCGATTTAAAAGTGATCCTTCCTTTAAATTTATTTGTGGTTCGTTATAATCCTTTATTTTAACTTACCCGTTAAAACCGTGATTTATATTACGTAATCTTTTTTATTTTATTAACCCCGTGTTTTTTTATTTTAACGGTTACGTATTAATTATTTAATAGATTTTAGTTTTTTTTTCCGGGGTCGGGGTTCGTAAGGTTATGTTTGTAATATTAAATCCCCCCTTTTTTTATTTTAATCTTTTAAAACCGAGGTCGTATAAATAAATCGTAATCGTTTATTTCTTAATTTAATAGGTTTCCTTCCTTTTTATATTTTTATAATATATATTTATTATATTAAATCGTGTTAAAAAATCTCGATTTCGTAAAACGTTTAACCGTTTATTT